TACGAGACTAGTGTTAGTTAATTGATATATGATGCAACAAAAGTTTGATAATTCGTTGGAATGATTTATGATGCTTAACACTATGCCATTATTTCCATAATTAAGGTTATAGTTATTTGCTTTCCGATGCATAATAATTGCACACCAACAATATTGAAGCGTGGTCGACATTTTCATTGGCAATAAGCACAACCTTCATTTATTTAATATACTAAACAAACTTATACTCCTACTACTTTATGTTAACTAAAGAGTTCTGGCATTTCTCTATTGGTTCACTTAAGTAGAAAACAAGATGATTTTATTATGAGTATAATTTATACTTTACATAATTTTATTAAATGAATTACTGTGAATTAGATGAACTTTCATTTTTCATACACAAATTAATCATTCTGTCAAAAAAACAAAAAATAAATAAATCATAATGTGACACATATAATATAATTGTTAAGCTCCTCCTTTATGCTGTATCACTGGTTTAAACGTAATAATTGCGGTTACGAGAGTTTGCGAAAGCGGACGGTTGTAATTCACGTTTTATTAAACATTTTAGAATGATTAGTGTTTCAGAATTATTGTGATTAAATATAGAGAGTTTGATAATATATTTTTCAATTTGTTAATGTTTTTTTTTAGCTATATCTTCTATTATCCTTAACTATAAAATGTTTGCGAAAAAAAAGTTTTAATATTTCAGCGATTTCGAGCGATTCTGAACGTTTTGGAAACCATAGTCTATTTTAGTATCAACCGCAACTGCCCGATGATAGTGAAAGAGCCTATCAACAGCTTAATGACAGTTAGTTTTAGTGGAGAATCCATGGGCTTAAACGAAATACATACAAGGCTTATTGGGCCTTATTGATCGGATAGAATTGGATTGGTCCAACAAAACGCCGCCACAAAAACCTCCGTCGCTGGCTGACGCAATGTTTCACCGGTGGTGGTAGCTTTTCTACTCCGACACGGCGCTCATCGTTAATAAAGCTCATCGCTTTCTTCTACTTCTCTGTCCTCTAAGCTAAACCCACAAGGAATCAAATCCGTTTTATCACTGAAGCCTAATGTTAATCAGAGTTCTGTAGACAGAAGCAATCTTCAATCAAACGTTTGAAAGGTTTCTGAAGGTCTTCTAATCGGAATTTAGATAGATTTAGACATGGGAGAGAAGCCAAGGAAGCTGCTTGTGTTGTATGCTTCTCAGACTGGAAACGCTCTTGATGCGGCGGAGCGTATTGGCCGCGAAGCAGAACGCCGAGGATGTTCAGCATCTATCGTCTCCACTGATGAGTTTGACTCAGTAAGTGTTGTAGTAAAACTAATTAGGTTTTTAAAGTTTCTTACTTTGTTTTGAAGATTGTTTTGCTAATGCTTGTATATGTGAATGGAACCTTACAAATGTGTGCAGAGTTCATTACCTCATGAGGAGGCTGTTGTTTTTGTTGTCTCCACTACAGGGCAAGGAGACTCTCCTGATTCCTTTAAGGTTGGTTGAAATATCTTGTGAAACTTTTACCAACATGTATATAGTTATACTTGCAAAGCGCCTTTAGTTATTGTAGCTTATTAGTTCATTGTCTTTTTAATCATTTGAAGGCATTTTGGAGGTTTCTTCTTCAAAGAAATTTGGGAAACTGTTGGTTGCAACGAGTTCGGTATGCGGTGTTTGGACTAGGTGATTCTGGTTACCAGAAGTACAACGTAAGTTCATCTGGATTCCGTTTCACATTGTTTAAACATACCCCATGTTGAGCTACTCCCAAGTTCCTCTTGTTTTTGTTTTGGTGTATACATCAATGTGAGAAGGAAAAAGATTAAAAAAGAGTAGGATTTACTAAGGATGAATTATTAGCAAATTGACATGATTTTCTTTCTGATGGCTTTAGTTTGTAGCAAAGAAGTTAGACAAAAGATTATCAGATCTTGGGGCCACTACCATCATTGAAAAAGGTCTAGGAGATGATCAACACCCATCAGGGTATGATACGGTATATTTAGGCAAATTAAGAACCTCTCAAAGTTGATCTTGCTTTCACAGAATATTATTTGAAATCAGATGAACCGTTTGAACAGTTGAAGATATTGTATCCACATTCATATTGTTGCTGGTATAGTTCTAGAAGTCCAGTGTCAGAATGCTAAGTTTTAGTTTTGGTGTTTTCTTTGTTTCAAGGTACGAAGGAACACTTGACCCGTGGATGCTGTCTTTGTGGAGTACATTATATCAGATCAATCCAAAATACTTTCCTAAAGGTCCAGATGTGAAGATTTCTCAAGATGAAGTAATTGATCAGCCTAAATATAGGATTTTATATCATAAGCGGGAGAAATTGGATCCGAACTTATTGGCAGAGTCAGGTATGTCAAAATTATTGAGTGGATACTTTGCTTCATTGATCTTAATTTATGACTATGTTATGCTACTTAACAGTGAATTGTCTACTTGCTAATGGTAATTGCTAGAAATGTCAATTTAAAAATCAATTTGAATGAATTTGCTGGAAGTAGTCTCACAAGTGCTCTGCTTCAATTGGCCTGTGAAATTAATTTCCCTTTCAGCATGAAAAAGGTTAATTAGCATTTATCTTACATAATATGCCTCTTATGTTTTGGCAGACATCATACAAAGAGCCCGTGGAATGTCTCCTGGAAAATTATTCAAGGAGAAAAGTAAACCAGACTGCTTTCTCAAGATGGTATGCACATCTTGTTGCCCTTTCTGACATGCTAGTCAACTATACTGGTTATGCTACCAATGCTTTGTTACCTTGAATCTGGTGGATTTGATGTTACTTGATAATTAACATGTTTTCTTAAAATATCTGATTATGGTATGCATTATTATTCTAAAGCCTAGATGATATGAATCTTAATCCCTTAGCTTGCCTTAACATACCAATCATGTAGACCAGAAATGAAGTCTTGACTAAAGCTGGAAGCACAAAAGATGTCCGCCACTTTGAGTTCCAATTTGTTTCCTCTGTAAGTACTTTATTGTCGCTTACTTTTAAGGTTTCCAATCAGTTTGAGGGTGATGTCTTATTATCCTCTTTGGTTTTCTCTTCTTTTAAGACTATTGAATATGAAGTTGGCGATGTTGTTGAGCTTCTTCCAAGCCAAAATTCTTCATCGATAGATGCGTTTATAGAACGCTGCGATTTAGACCCAGAATCATTCATCACAGTAAGTAGCTCCAACCGGTTGATATAAAATGTTCTCAGAATGTCTTATTTTGGGATTCAAAATAAATCCTGAGTGCTAATTTGCTTTCAGGTTGGGCCGAGAGAGACAGAGAATAATGGTGTCAATGAAGAAATGATTACAGAGCTCCCTATCAAGCTTAAGACTTTTATTGAATTAACAATGGATGTTACATCTGCTTCACCCCGACGATACTTCTTTGAGGTAAGAACTCTTCAATCCTTCAATCCTAATGCATTTGAATTTCAATTTTATGAAAGTCCTCTTATCTTACGTATATAGCTTTAAGTTTATCTATGAAACAAGTATTTGATGCAAACCCTTGTAATGTATAATCTCTGTTCAGGTTATGAGCTTTTATGCAACAGCTGAACATGAGAAGGAGAGACTTCTATACTTTGCCTCGCCCGAGGGGAGGGATGATCTCTACAATTACAATCAGAAGGAAAGAAGAAGCATTCTTGAGGTAAATTAGCACCAGATCTCATAGGTCCATGATTCGTCTTGAACACGCATTGACTCGTTTAACCAAATGGATTGTATGTAGGTGCTAGAGGATTTTCCTTCCGTACAAATCCCTTTTGAGTGGCTAGTACAGTTAGTCCCACCGCTAAAAGCAAGAGCTTTTTCAATATCTTCATCTCTTTTGGCCCATCCTGCTCAAGTACATTTGACCGTAAGCATAGTGTCATGGATCACGCCTTATAAGAGAACTAGAAAAGGTCTATGCTCCTCTTGGCTTGCAAGCCTCACACCTGAACAAGGTTAGAACTTTGTTCCTTCTTTACCATAACTGGCTCAGTTCTTTGTTTCTGATGTGTTTTCTTTATTTTCTGTTGTGGTTAGAGGTAAACATACCGGTTTGGTTTCACAAAGGCTCCCTTCCTGCTCCATCACAGTCGCTTCCGCTCATCTTAGTGGGACCTGGAACCGGATGTGCGCCTTTCCGCGGTCTCATATCTGAGAGATCCGTACAAGCTCAGTCTAGCCCCGTCGCACCAATCATGTTCTTCTTTGGTTGCAGAAACAAAGACACAGATTTTCTATACCGCGATTTCTGGGAGTCACACTCAAGAGAAGGAGGAACACTCTCCGAAGAAAAGGGCGGTGGCTTCTACACAGCATTCTCTAGAGACCAACCGAAGAAGGTTTACGTGCAACACAAGATCCGCGAGATGAGCAAGAAAGTTTGGGATTTGCTATGTGATGGAGCTGCTGTTTACGTGGCTGGCTCCTCGACGAAAATGCCATCTGATGTAATGTCGGCTTTAGAGGAGATTGTGTCAGAAGAGACTGGAGGATCAAAAGAGGTTGCTTCACGGTGGCTCAAGGCTTTGGAGAAAGCAGGGAGATACAATGTTGAAGCTTGGTCTTAAATCCAACTTCCCCAACTTCCTTCATATCTTAGTATATGAAGCCAAGAAGCTTTGGTTATTGTTGTCACATTAAAGTTTTTATTTTATTTTGATTCATACAACAACAAATTAACAAAAAAAAAAATGAAGATGATTTTTCTAATAATAAGTTAATATATCGTTTTAGCTTTGAAAATACATACTTTTCGATTAATTTCAAAATTGTTTAATTGGCTAATATCAGCTTTGTTGTGTTAAAATTTGAATTTTGAAATATCATCAATTAACATAACATACGATTCTATTGTTTATGGCATACAAGGCTTATTGGGCCTTTATTGATTCTATCCAATATTTGAAAATAAGCCCAATTTGATCGGATGGATTGGATTGGTCCAACCAAACGCCGCGACAAAAACTCCGTCGCTGGCTGAAGCAATGTTTCACCGGTGGTGGTAGCTTTCCTACTCCGACACGGCTAAAAATATGCAAATCCCTAACCCTAGACACGGCCATGGTTAATAAAACTCATCACTTTCTTCTACTTCTCTCTCCTCTAAGCTAAACCCGAGCCTCCAAAGATCTTTCCCCGTTGGTCGAAAAAACCAGGTAATATTGAAACCCTAGATCTCTCCGATTGGGAACTCTAGATCTCTCTTCTCTTCTTTAGCTTCTTTTTTTCTTTCTGGGTTTTGCTCAAAGATGGGTGACAGCGAAGATGAAACAGGGTACCCAAAAAAGTTTTACTCTTTGAATCGACAGAGTCATCCTATGTATAGTAGACCCATTCCTAAGCGTCACGCGTATTACCATGAAGAAGAAGATGAACAAGAAGAAGATGAGGTCGAAGGAGACGATGAGGAGCCACAAGGAGGAGGAGGAGGTTACAGTCGTGGGAATGAGAGGTTTCAGAAGAGGCAGAAACCAAACAAACCTGCGGTTTCTGGGTATGATTTTGCTGGACCAAGTGATGGGAAAGTTAAGTATGATTGGAGAGAGCAAGAAGCGTTTGTGTTGCTTGAAGTTTGGGGAGATAGGTTTTTGCAATTGGGTAGGAGGAGTTTGAGGAACGAAGATTGGAATGAAGTAGCTGAGAAAGTGTGTGAAGAGCTTAGGATGGAGAAATCTGAGACTCAATGTAGGAGAATGATTGATAACTTGAAGAGGAAGTATAGGAAAGAGAAGATTAAGGTCGAGAAATCGGGTTTAGGTTCGAGTAAATGGGCGTTTTTTAATAAGTTGGATATGTTGCTCTGTGTTTCGCCTAAGTCGGATTTAGGTTTAGCTTGTGGTGTTGATTCAGGTGAGTTTGTGTTTATGAACACAAAGGTTTATTTGGATAAATCAAACGGGTTTGATGAGATGATGGATAGTCCTGGTGATTCAGAAGAGGAGGAGGATGATGAAGAAGAGGTTGATTACGAGAGGAAGAAGTTTAATGACGCTGCTTCGTATAAGATGTTGGCGGATTCCGTTGAGAAGTTTGGGAAGATTTATGAGAAGATGGAGAAGAGTAAGAAAGAGCAAATGAAGGAGTTGGAGAAGATGAGAGCTGATTTTCAGAAAGATTTGGAGTTGCAGAAGAAACAGATTGTGGATAGAGCTCAGAGTGAGATTGCTAGGCTACGTGAAGAGGAAGAGAACAATCATGGTGATGGTGATGCTGGTGATGATGAGAGTGAAGATGAGGAAATGGAGAATGATTCTGATGTTAACCTCAGTGATGAATAAGTTATAAAACTTTGTAGGCTGTGTTGTTATAGATATGCAAAAAAGGGAGTTCTGTTTTTTTCGTTTTGGAGAATTCAGAATTTGATTATTTTTTGTAATTTGTGTTTGGTCGTTGAAACTTTATTAGTTAAGGTTACTTGCATTAATATATTTCCTTGTTAAGAACTTAAGATGATACAGTTTATGGTTATTACTCTTGTTGTAGCTGTTCGGTTAGGATTGATTGTCCGGTTTAATCAGAGCTAAACCGACAGATTCATATGTACTTTTGTCTGAAATGTGGAAAATTAATTTGATATATAAGCATCAGAGACGCAACAAAAACTTGACTAGATTCAGATAGTGTTACGTCATCGACTTTAGTTGGGGAACAGAGTAAGATGATTTGAGCTCATGCCATAAGCAAAACAACGTGTCGTAGTCATCTTCTTCATCTTCTTCATCTTCGACAATTGTATTGGTAGTTCGAGAGATACACACCAATGACTTGAGCCATTCTTCATGCAGACTTGAGAACTCAGACCTTAGCTCACTTGACTTGAAGCTTTCTCCAATTGATCTCTTCATGGCTTGAGCAGCGTCTGTTGCTGTCTCAACGACTTGGTTTGGTATTCCAGCCATGAGGGCTACTTGAAGTCCGTAGCTCTCGGGACAAGCTCCCTCGGTTAAACGGTACAAGAACACCAGGTCTTTATCACAACCACGGGGTTCTTGATCTGTTCTTGATTTGAATGCGCAAGCCATGTGTTTTGAGATGACGCGTGGGTGAGACGAGAATTCCTTTGTGAGAGGGTGGTAATGCGTTGCGAAGAGCATCCGGCACTGGACTTTCTCTACCAGGTGACGAAAAACCTGATAAATAAATTGACATGTTTCAGCAAAATTGAGATTCATTGCTTTCTCAGTTAAAGTGAACAAGTTGAAGGGAGAAGAGGAGGTTACTGAATATGCAATGGCGTAGCCATCGAAAGTACTAGTTCCTCTGCCCAGTTCGTCAAGGATTACTAGTGAATCCTGAGTTGCATTCTGAAGAACTGACGCCGTCTCAGTGCATTCTACTAAGAAGGTACCTACAAAACGAAAAACCAGTTTCCACTCAAACACAATCCGCATAACTGAGGAGTGAGGAAGTAGTCTATGAAAACAGACTTACTCTCTCCAGTCATGATTCTATCAGATGCGCCAAGCCTTGTGAAGATAGTATCCACAAGGGAGAGTTCACATGTCTCACAAGGAACATAACAACCAAGCTGCGCATGAAATTAAAAAAATTGTATAAGTTGTTGTCATATCTAGAAAATGGTTGCTTGAAGAGAAAAAGCACTAATGAAACAAGTTTGTGTACAAACCTGGGCAAAGATAACAGCAAGACATGTTGCACGCAGAAGAGTTGATTTTCCACCCATGTTGGGTCCTGTCAGTAACAATGACCGAGGATGAATGCTGTTGCTGCTGCTGCTAGCCTCACCAAGGAGTATATCATTTGGAACAGGCAATTGACCATCAGCTGCAACTGCAAATGGATGCCATAGTCCCTGGATTTTAAGTATTGGCCCTTTTATTTCCTGATTCTGATTTGAACTATTTGATTCGGGAATGATAACAGGTCGGGCCATGCTTCCAGCAGAGAGACTTGCAACGTTTGCAAAAGATCTCAGGACATCAAGGCAGCTTATGGTGTGAATGACCTCAGACCAGTGAGTGGATCTTTCGATAAATAATTCAATAAGTATTGTGAGAGTTTCAGCATTCTCCTCTGTCATATCTTGGTTCTGGTACACGATTAGTAAGTTCTAGTTAGATACATATCCAACCATATACCAAACTGAAATTGTATTCCAAGAAAAATCAGGAAAAATGCAAATGCTTTTAGTATTACCAGAGTGTGAGTTCAGATCTAAGCTATATGCAGATGATATTAACAGTATGATCAGACTAACAAGCTATACAACTTCATCTGCTAATAGAAGCACATGCGGAAGCAAATTTAAGAATAAATGAACGTCGATTAAAGCTATTGAGCATGGGAGCATGTCTCTGAGCAGTGACAGAATTTTGTTGCCAAATATGAATTTGCAAGATAGAGGTGCACCTGATAATTTGGAAAGTCGCTATCTATGGCTGCTTCGAATTGAGAAAGGAATAGCTCTAACCCACTTTTCCCAACTAATATAGGAAGTTTACAGAGTTTACAAAGCAAACTCATCATATTTGATTCCTTCTGTAGAGCCAACAACAAATCAATTCCACTTCTGAACCCTTTCACAATTTGCCCAAATGCTTTAACCTGCAGTGCAGTGAGATGTAATCGTTAACCAGACATATTGCAATAGAAGCTAGACCCATAATGCTTAATCCCGGAAGGCATTGCTCAGAAAACATGTGATTGATACTTACTCGTTGTTTCAGCACTTTTTTCCCCAGAAGAGCAGGCAAAACAGAGGCTGATGACTGAACGCTAGACTTAATGCGCCCGAGCAATCTTTCTAAGTCTGGAAGTTTATGGAGATACTGGCCAGTGATTTGCATAATTTCTGAGTTTGCCTTGAACTCTTCAACTATATCAAGCCGTTTATTGATGGTTACTACATCTTTAAGTGGATGGCAGATCCAATTCCTTAAGAGCCGCTTACCAGTTGGACTAATACAGTTATCAAGATATTTGTACAAGGTCCCTGCAGAGGTAAACAAAAAAAAACAACTATTATTTTCTGGAGATCGGTACCAAGTATTAAAATATTTTTCCTGTGTCTACCCTCTATTTGGAGCTATAAAAACTACATGCACTTGCCTGAAGGACCACCATCACAGGTATTGTTAAATATCTCAAGATTTACCATCGTCTGGCCATCAATTCTGAGACAACCCCTATAAACTTGGTATGGAAAAATATCCCCATGCTTAAGTACATCTTCTAGCTGCAAGATAGAAACTGTAAGTTATGAAGAGTTCCTTTGCTTAACATGTGAAAAGCAAAAACTAACCAAGCCAACAAACCTTTAGCCTAGACAGATGATTAATTAGCTCTCCAAGGGCACTAAGGGCAACATCACATTCATTTAGACCATCAACAGCACAGTTCCATGATTGAGAAGAAGCTTTAAAGTATCCATTAGATTCTATTATATTTCTAACTCCAGCAGCATCCGTATCTCCCATCACTTGTGGTACTGGAGCCAACTGTACCGCCGTAGACCCTATTTAATTGAAACATAAATATCATATACATTAGCAATGTTTAAGATCTATCATTGGGTGAGCAACTAAAAGAAGTCAGATTTTCATGCACGAATCTGCGCAAGAGTCTACATGATTATCTGGTAAGAGCATGTTTTCCTAATTCTGAGTTAGGTTTCATACTGAAAGAGTACCTGTCAATGTAAATTTCCTTAGAGCCTTTTGGGCTTCTCTTGATAGCCCTGCAATATTTAAACATTTATGCAGTTAAACTTAACCAGTGCCATTTACCTTAAATTCTGTTTGACAAAACAACTGGCGATCCAAGCAGTTTAGTTTACCTTTACTGTCATATAAAACTTCCTTTGGAGAAACCTGGAAAAAACAAACCAAAATTTGATTCATAATTAGTTCCAGCAAACCAAATATATGCACACAAAGTCACATGGTACGCATAAGATACAGAACAGAGTTGCTTACCTGCATCAATAAAGCTCCAAGAGCAGCGCAAGATGCATCATCGCTGATGGACCCAACCCAAAACCTCAAGGCAGCACAGTCAACAAAAGCAAATCCATACACAGTTGAACACTTTTCTAGCTCCATTTTGATCTAAAATCAAGATTTAGAAGAAAAAGTGACATCAAACCATTAGGCAATGTAACCAAAGTAAAATCCTGAGCAGCTAGTTTATCATTGCAATGTAAAGCTTGGATCAGCTATCATTTTCTCCGGCATGCGAAACAACACAACACAAATAATGTCACGATAGAAAAAGGTGGATGCAGTAACAAGGAATGAGACTACTTAACATGCGATTCCAGACAATGATGATTGTAAGAAATTAGGAAATTCAGTTAAAAAGACTGACTCTTTCAGATTTAAAGATTCTTAAGAGCTTTTAGTCTGCAGCTTACAAAAAAAAAATTCAAGGGAATCTCTTGAACATATATCAAAGCAGCATATCTTGAATTTCTGATCCCAAATCCTTACACTGCTTGATGGAAGATTGCTAAAGAAAGTGTAATTTTCCACGACTCGAATGAACTTAAATTATAAAATAAATAACAAACCTCTTTTATAGCAAGAAGATGGACGGCATCAGGCCCGATGTTACCCTCACTTGCTGTTGATGGAGTTAACACCTGAACAAGCTTCCTTGGAATTATCTGATAATTAGACCAGAATAGCCATTGAGTTAACTACAGCATAAACATAATGTACAGAAAAAGATACGATTGAGAACAGTCTGCAAAACCCTCCTCGTTCTGTCCCAAGAAAACTTACACTATTAGCACCTCTGGCTTTTGCTTGGTCAGATGTTTCTAGCTGCTCAATTCGTCCAACTTTATATCTTCCAAAAGAAACAACGTGTGTCAATACATAAGTAGTGGAACAGGAAAACATATGAACCTGCATGCTAGTTTCTGTTGGAAGCATTTATAGCTATCCAGTTTTGACACAAATGAGTGAACCATATATAAGTAAACATATATCATCTGTAACTGTTGCTACAGTGGACTAACAAAGGTTGGCTGGGTCTGTGCCTTGCTTGTGGGCACACAAATTTTGTACAAGTTTGTTTGTTTCTCCTTTGTGAAAAGACTTATTATAAATGATGACGAAGAAGAAAACATCCTAGGTTCTCAGAATCCTGACTGATGATGACTGAAGTGATTTCTTTCTTTTTTTCAAACCATAACTAGAAGTAACAGTAATGAATTCCTTAAAGTATGATGGTTCCCTTACCCACGAGCTAACAGCTTTTGCACTGCCTCATCTATCCCACTTTCAGAGATGCCAACCTGACACAAAAAGGGCGTCAAAATTTATAGACACAATGATTCAAGCAGGCCAGTTCTTTCAACTAATTTACCTGTCTGCATTTTCCCACACCGCTCATGGTCATCTTCCAGTCAAGCTCCTTGTGTCCTAATTCTGCATCTAGCTCATACAGCTCATAAAATTTTCCCTGAGACGAACAGAATGTATGCTGAGGTTGTAAGTAAACCAATTGCATTGAGGAAAAGAATTGAACACTAAATCAATATTCACTAACCACTTTAAAGAACAGGACAATATCCATATACTGACTCTTGACACTCCAATATTGCTTTTGCGATGCAGACATTTTCTTGAAAACATCAGGTGGTATGTATAAGGTCTTCCTATCATAAAGGGGATCATCAGGCCGTCTTCTATTGGCGTCCCTGATTCGAGAAGGGTCAAGCCATTCAAATTTGGTTCCTTCGTTTACTTCTTTCTTCTCTCCACAAACTGGATCTTGAAGCATTTTCAGCCTTTTGTTAGAATCCAATACAGGGACCTTATTCTCCTTAGAATTCATTCCGTCCTCCAAAACTCGCTTAAAACGAGGAACACTTGGACGCATCCCTGGTGTATCTGGACCAGGAACATCATCATCTACTTCGATATCTTCTACTAGCCTTATATTAGCTCTCCCACTGAAGCTAAAAGCATGTCCTCTTTCTTGAGACTGACATTTATTGGAACGAAATTCAGGAAAAACATTATCATCCTTCACACATACGGACGAATCATCAAGCGGAACAACATGTTCTCGGCTCCTGTAAAATTTCAAACAATGATACAAGGCAGTAATCAAAATCTCCACAATGACCAGCCAACACATTACATGAATCTTCTTCTTCTTCTAAAGTAACATAAACAATCTTCCATCTGAAATTCGAGCCTAGACCTAATTTTTACTGAGGCAAAAGAGAAAACGAAGATAGTACCTCTGTCCAGGACAATCTCGATCATCGACCTTCACAAACTTATGCATAATATTAGAGAACAGCGACGACGAAGCACCACCTCCGGCGGATTCAGCCGTCGTCTTAAATCCGGACGGCAAGACACGACGCGGAACCTTCTCCGGCGGAGTATCCGTTCCTCTAACCTCATCAACAGATTTCGATACAGCAGGGCGTACCGAAGCGTCGCCGTTACCATCCCCTCCCTTCACAGTAGATCGTAACCCTCCTCCTCCTCCGCCGCCGCCACCGCCGCTAGTAGCATCTCCCGAAACCAAACCCTGAGTACTCGCCGTCGCCGGCGACGGTTTCTGGAAGAAAGACAAAATCGATCTCTGGCGCTGCATTTTGGAACTGTATGAAAGAGAGAAAGCCAGAAACGATGTTTTGAGTTGAGCTGAGTGAAGAAATCGAAAAAGGTGAAAAAGATTGGCGCCAAAAAAATTTCGCCTCGCCTCGTAGAAATGGCGGAAACGTCACTCACTCTCTCCTCCAGGTCTACTTTTTTTTTGTTGACTCTTCAACCTTTGACGCTTTAATGACCGTCCGATTCTCTTCTCTTACTGTGTACCGTTAGATACGTTGCAACGAGTCAATTATGCATTGGTAATCGGATCAATTCGGTTTGCCTAACTCGGGTTTCGAATATTTCGAATTTAAACCGAAATAAATTCAGTTTTTGGCTAATTTTGATTAGCTTAAAATTTGGTCTACTACCAAAATGTGTTACTGTTTATTTATCCATCCCCGAACCGACAACCACAATTTAAAACAACATTGAACCAATCAGATAATTTGACGTAACCGAATCCAACTTTGTTAATGCCACGTCATAGGAATAACATCAAATAATATGGTGACACGTCATCCCATCTCTAAGAACGTTCCAGAGACGAACATGGAGAAAAAAAGATGATCGAATTCTCCAGAAACCAGTCTTCGTCTATAAAAAAAAATCTCACAATACTCTCAATCGCCTCATCATCATCGTCTTCATCATCGTTCTCAGTTTCAAATTCTATCAATCAGCGAAGAAAAATGCCGAGCAGATACCCAGGAGCAGTGACACAAGACTGGGAACCAGTGGTTCTCCACAAATCAAAACCAAAGAGCCAAGACCTACGCGATCCAAAAGCGGTTAACGCGGCGCTAAGAAGCGGCGTCGCGGTTCAAACGGTGAAAAAATTCGACGGCGGTTCGAACAAAAAGGGGAAATCGACGGCGGTTCCGGCGATCAACGCGAAGAAGCTTGAGGAAGAAACAGAGCCTGCGGCGATGGATCGTGTGAAAGCGGAGGTGAGGTTGATGATACAGAAGGCGAGGTTGGAGAAGAAGATTTCGCAAGCGGATCTGGCGAAACAGATCAATGAAAGGACTCAGGTGGTTCAAGAGTATGAGAATGGTAAAGCTGTTCTGAATCAAGCTGTGCTCGCGAAGATGGAGAAGGTTCTGGGTGTTAAACTTAGGGGCAAAATTGGAAAATAAGTAAAACGCTGTCGTTTTTGAGTATTTGTTATCTTGGTATCGATTGTAAAAAAAGAAAAAACAAGAAATTGTTGTTTATGTTTGGTAAATCAAAAAAAAAAACAAAAAATTTAGAGCAGTTAATTCTTATATTTTTATTTATTTTTGGTCAAGTTATGGGTATATACAATCAAATATACAATTACATAATAAAATATATGTATAAATGAAAAAATGAAAGTATAAAATTAGTGTAAGATGCTATCTTTTTAGTTTTTTTTTTTAATCTTGTAGTAAATTCTTTAAACTGCTACAGAAAAAACTGGTGTGTTTCCTTAAATAAAATTAAAAATTAAAATACTCCTTCCTATATTTTTTTTTAATTATTTTTGGTGTAACAAACATATATTATGTACTTTCTTATTTTGCAAAAAAAAGTGTCATGTTGACGTGTTTTATATTAATTAAAAAAATATTTTATTTTCCAATATTTTGTATAAATACGTTAAAATTAAAGTGAAACTATGGAAAGATGTATCTGTAAAAGCTTTATAACATCTTAAAATGACATTTTTGTGAAAACGGATGGACATGAAAAGTTACAATATACAATGGAAGTATAAACAGTATTGATATTAAAATTAAAAAAAAAACATTCAAAAAGCAAAAACGTATTGAAGAAAAAAGTACAAGTCTTATTGAAGTGTTTTTTTTTTTTTGTATTGTTTTTTATTGTTGGAGTTTTTGAAGTTTAGTATTTGATACAAACAATGTTACTACATCCAAGGGGAATTGTGAAGAGGCATAACGACGGATTTGGTTTGAAGAAAGTTGTCAAGAGCGTCCAAGCCACTTTCACGACAATTGCCACTCATCTTGTAGCCACCATAGGGACAGTCAAGATCAAACCCGAAGTAGCAATTAACCCAAATGATCCCAGCTTTGATCGACCTTGAAACCGTGTTGATCACGTCTACGTTTTGGCTTAATATCCCTGCCGCAAGGCCGTATTTCGTGTTGTTCGCGCATTTGATCCCTTCCTCGACCGTCCTGCGAGTTTTTAGTCTTATATGAAACGAGACAATGGTTTGAGATTTGAGAAGAGAAGTTAGTTTATATGTAATGGGTTTACTTGAATTTCATCAATGACATGACTGGTCCAAAGATTTCATCTTGGTATATCTTCATATCATCCTGTAAATCAACAAAATTTAACATTAGTTAATTGCCTAATTTGGATACTATTACCAACATGTCATTTTTGCAAATAAGTGCCAAGATTTGGTAATGAAGCCTAGTTAGTGAATGAAGAAGAGGAATGTGAGACTTACAGTGACATCTGTGAATATAGTTGGTTCAATGAAGTAACCTTTGTCTCCAATGGCTTTCCCTCCCGTTAGTAAGGTTGCTCCTTCGTTTTTGCCGTGCTCAATGTAAGAAAGAATCTTCTCAAATTGTCTTTTATCAACCTGAAGAAACAATCAAATCATAATCTAACTCTGAAGTATACTCAAATCAAGATCAAGATCTTCTTTAGTTGTCATTTTTAAAATAAGTTTGCTTTACTTGAGGTCCTTGTCGAGAAGTTGCCTCAAAAGGGTCACCAACTGTCCAACTTTTAGCCTTCTCCACTAACTTCTCCACAACCTTATCGTATATACCCTCTTGAACAAACACACGGGAGCTCGCAACGCAAATTTCACCCTGTAGATTCAACCAAACTAGTATGTTTATACATATCAATATATACCACCATTGATCGGTATTGGAGTGGTCACTAAAATACCTTGTTGTAAAAGCAACCGAGAAGCGCAAGATCAGCGGCCTTGTCAATATCAGCGTCGTTGAATATGAGAAGAGGCGATTTCCCGCCTAATTCAAGGGAAACTTTCTTGAGATTGCTTGCGGCCGCGGCTTGCATTATTTTCCTCCCAACATCAGTTGATCCCGTGAAACTAACCTGATCATAACATATACAAAGAAGGTTCAAGATTTCACATCCAACCAACAACACTAGTCACTGCCACTAATAAGACAATAGATCTTACTTTGTCTATGTCCATATGGGAGGCAATCGCAGCTCCAGCAGTTGCTCCAAAACCAGTTACAACGTTGAGCACACCATCAGGAATCCCCGCCTATTTTTGTCACACAAAAATGTATCCATAATCATAACTTAATTAAATTGCATTTAGTTTAAAGCAAATCTTGAAATACTTAACAAGTTAAACTTGAAATCTCTATGGACTTACTTCTTTAGCAAGATGAGCATAAAACAAAGCAGAAAGCGAAGTCTGCTCAGCTGGCTTAACCACCATGGTGCAACCAGCAGCCATAGAAGGAGCAACCTTAGTAGCAAACATAATACTTGGAAAATTCCAAGGGATAATATGACCAACCACTCCAACAGGTTCTTTTAATGTGTATCCGAACAAAGCCTGTCTTGTCATTTTAAGAGTCTGGCCGTGGATCTTATCCGCCGCACCCGCATTGTACCGGAAATTACCAGCCGTGGCCGGAATATCAGCTAGTTTCCCTAATTGGAATAGCTTTCCTCCGTCAACCGCATCAAGTTTAGCCAATTCTTCTACGTTTTGCTCTATTAAGTCTGCGAATTTGTTTATAAGCCTTCCTCTTTCCTGGTGAGATCACATCAACCAAACTTGGTTATGTAAGAAAAACACTCTACTAATACTAACATAACACAAATTTAAATACCACACGAAAAAAAGAACAAGTATGATCACGTCACGTCAATATTATAGAGAAAGTAATAGTCCAAATTACACTTATGTAAAAAGATTAATCAAAACATAAGCCTTTAAGATTAGACAATATGTTAAACTAATATGGGTTACACGTTTATGTTAGTTAGCAACATGAAAGTGACACCCACCCACAAAATAAGTCAAACCTCTCTAGTTTTTTTTTTTCTCTCTTTAATAAATTAATAACACGAAAGTTATCAAATCAATGAGTTTTTCACTAAAAATAAGACACAAAAATTAATTAAAGAACAGGGACCACATTAATCAACAGAAAAATATCAATAAATTTTAATTATAGTATATGGTATTAATAAAACACCTATTTTATAATTTGGTAATAAAAATAAAATGTAGTAAGGAGACGTACAAAGCCGGTCATGCGAGGCCAAGGACCATGGTCGAAGGCGTGACGTGCGGCGTTAACAGCCAAGTCAACATCTTCTTTGTCTCCTTCGGCTATATGAGCGATCACTTCACCGTTCCTCGGGTCTATCGTCTCAAACGTCTTCCCTATAAAAATTTTATATAACCCAAAAATCAAAAACCACCCAACTTAATCATCAAAATCATGAGTCTTTTTTTTTTGTGGTTTTTTGTTTTGTTACTATTCTTTTTTTTTTATTTACTCCGGACCGGAGAAAACTATATTAAATTTCGAATTCCGTGACCAATGCTACACGAATCCAGATGACGGAACTTATCTCCCTTTACGACTAGACCAAGGCGACTTGGTTTACTATTCTTTCTTTCATTGATATGGACAAAACATTAGCTTTATCATCTCGACTTCACAAAATAAGGAAAATAAATTGATGAATTTTGTGGTTGAGAAAATAAATTGTCAGGGTAGACCAACAAATTTGTTCGTGTTTTATAGTGGAACATGTTTCTTCTTATTTCATGAATTTTCCGACCACTCAATACTGATCCACCGTACTATTCTTAACTACGGTTTTGTCTTTCTTTTTTTTCGTTTTTTTTCTTTCCCAAAAGTGTAATACTATTGATAGGGAAAAAAGATTTGAGGTACTTAGCATGATTAATTTTAAACATGGAGAACCAAAATCAAGAAATAGGAATGATTTTGGGTTAATACTCTCTACTAATCTTTGTTTAAGGTCAACGTTTAAAGAAGCAAAGATAAAGAACCTGAAGCAGCATCAATGAACTGGCCGTTGATGAAAAGCTTGGTGAACTTGATCTCCGGTAACTTCACCGACGAGCCTCCGTTGCATTTGCCGTTCTCCATTTTTTTCTTTAGTCTTTCTCTATTCTCTCTCTCTCTCTTTCGTATGCTTAAGGGACCGTGGAAGGGACAGAGAGAAGTTATTTTACGTATTTATAAACGAAGCGTCTCGATACACCTGTCAGCGAAGACAGAGTTGTGTTTTTTGTTAAGTAGCTAGGATCTTGCATGTGAAGGATGATATATAACAGGTTTTATTGTATATTAATTATATTTCTTAATATTATACATCTCTATATAATATTGAAATCTATGTGAAAGGATAAAATTTTTTACTATGTTATTATCTATAGTAGTTTTTCTTTTTATCATTTTTAGATTTATCAATTATTGCATATTATGAGAACTATTACAAAGATAATTTACCATACACAATTTTTTCCAATCTTATTAGATTCATTAGTTCTAATTGCGAATTACTGGAAATGTTTTTGTAAACTTTTCTCCTTTAATCTGCAAAATATTTGATATATCATATATCTGGAGTTCGGACCTCAGACCTCTTCGGGTAGAAACATTTCTAAACCCTTGGTCAACTATTGGGACAAAAGAGCTTCCACTATCGATATAAGTTTAAACACGTTAAAAACATATATTTTTGTTAAATAAACAACTAATGAAATTTGGCCAAAACCAAGATAGCTACCATCAAACTCAATTGTCATGTTATTTATACATAATATAATGATATTAATAACTTTAAAATATATTGAGATATAATTTTAAATTTAAAATAAATATTTTATATTATGAGATTTTTTGAATATTAAATTAATAATTTAATTTAAAATTATGTTTCAGGAAAACTACAACTATCTCAATATTTACGTGGATATCCATAAACCACAAATCCGAATTCAAATAATTAAAAATAAAAACCGTATTTAAATCCGGTTACCCTAAAAAAGCCTACATGCAATGTAAACCCATATGTCACAACAGTTGGCTGGGTTCATGAGTCCAATCTCAGTATTGTATGATTTTGACCAAGTTTGCCCATTTTGTAAACATTTTTCTTCAGAGTATACATTTTTAATTAATATCATGTAGTTAAAAAAAGGTTAAGTACTATTTTTTTCTTTCTTAAAATTAAAATTTTCATCTACCTTACTAAAAGTTGACTTTCAATTATTATTTTATATCAACAACTTGATAACAAACAAAAAACTTAGAGGTGTTCATTGGTTACCCATCTACATCGATCATCGATGGCATTGTTCTACAATTAATTTGAAAAGTTCAAGAAAATGAGTTCAATTGTTTATAATCTTTGTCAAATATTATTGTCTACACTGTTCAGAAATCTGTTCTGTTGTTTGTTTACATTATTCACAATCGAATATTCTTTCTGTATAAAAATTAAATAATTATAGTAATATGGTAAAAACATAGTCTTTCATGATTGTTTATAATCTCTTATATATAATTTACAATTTTGTACATAGTAAAAAAATTACTATTGTATAAACAAATAAATATTGTATTTTAAAGTACTATCTACACATGTTTGCAAACAAAAACTTATGCAAAATCATACATATAATTTTTTTTTTTTTTGAACAAAATCATACATATAATTTCTTAAAGACAAGAAAAGGTCAAATTTTGATGACGTAGACGACATATGTGAAATAACGTGGCTTAAAAATACTTAATTCTTATGACAATTTATCTCAAACTAACATTGTAAAATAGACATGAATACGAATATCTAGCGATGAAAAACTTGATACTAAAATTTCAACATAAGTTATATATAATTCAATACTGATATCAACTCATTTGTGGATGAAAGAAAGATACATCCAGAAAACGTTATCATTTTATAATCGTCTTGTTTTCTTTACTTAAAATTAGCTGTGGAGTTTTATACGTTAACCTAAGCATGGTGGTTTTAGCGACATGTACACAATTTTAATTATTTTATGAATACAGTATATGTAATAAGGATTAAGAAAGTTTTGGTTTCTCAATATAATACGATTTCATCAAAAAAAGAAACTTAAAAGTTGCTACAATTCTAAAATGTGAAGGTCAAGTGAAAGGTCTTCCCATACTTTTCGTCTATTTTTCCAATTTATACAAGAATCATTGGCCCATATCATTTATAAATGTCTTAGCTGGTAAGTGGCGGTCATCTCACTCCGTTCTTGTAGTAGAAGCTTAAAAGAAAAGATTTTGAATGTTCTCGATCAATGGATTTGTAACCATTAAATACAATTTTGGTTGGAAACATGAAACACATAACGTACTATATAGTATGTTATAACAAAAGAGAAAAATACAAATCAGTTTTCAAAGAGATGCTAAGAATAAGGGAGGTTTAGAGTGGGTGTTGGCTATGGCGTATCGTTTGGGTCGTTTAAAACTCTTTTTTTTGCTTTTGTCTCATTCCATTAACCCTATACAAAAACTCTATTTAATTACCTTACATATGACAATTATATACTATACAATAGAAGAGTAGTTCGAGGTGGAAGATTCACCTTTTACGTACGCTTACATTAACTATATTATTTGAGTATTTTTGTTATTAAAAACATTAAGATTGTATATATATATATATATATACTTATTTGACAGAAGAAAAAGAGATATGTAGTTGGGAAAATAAAGGATATGTAGTTCCAAATCCCATTTATTAAGAAAGAATCATCAGAAAAATCCAACAAGTATGTGTGGCCTTCAAGAACTGGTCATACTTGGCCGCTTTGGTTTCACTAAGACAACGAGTGATGTTGGCCCAGCTCCATGCATATGGACATCTCTATTATGAGTAGATAAAATGTATTCAGTATACTCAGCTCCATAATTTCAATTTCATATAGAAATATAGAGTTTCAGTTTTGTATTAATTTGCATGTATATATAATCGTTTATTTCAAAGAATATATAAAGTAATAAGAGTCTTTTCTATTGTTAATTCAACTGTGACGTCTATCAATTTTTAATAATACATACAGTATAGTCGACGATCCCGGTTCTGTCACAACACTATCATTATTTATTGCATTGATTTTTTTTTCTCAAGACTAATTATTTTTTTCTTGTCAACGAATAAGTTTTTTAGTTTTGTTTTTGTCAACGAATAATTGCAGTTTTAAAACAACAAGAAAAAGTTTGAGACCGACGTACCAAAAGGTGAAATAGACAAAATTGACTCTTCATTATTCGTGAATAATATGATCTAGAAACAAGTGACCAAATAAAAAGATATGTATGTCCTTATCAAATTATATAGAATTTATGTAATAATAATTCATGATATACAAAATATTTTTGCCAGCAAAATTTATTTATTAGATTTGTTCTTGAAAATCCAAAAACAGATTGGGTGCATGGTCATGGATATACCGACTCATCCAAAAATGAATATAACAGATTTTGTAACCTCTGAGAAAAGAATACTTAAATTTATGGTTAAGAAAGATACATCACATTGGTGCATACGATGTGGCTAAGTAGCTTACCTCAAGATCATAAAACCAACTCATCCAAAAATGAATAAACAGATTTTGTAGCATTTTGAGAAAATAATTCTTAAATTTTATGGTTAAGAAAGATAGATCACATTGACATGATGTGGCTTACCTCAAGATCATAAAACCAACACATCCAATAATGAATGAACAGATTTTGTAGCATTTTGAGAAAAGAATACTTAAATTTTATGGTTAAGAAAGACAGATCATATTGGCATGATGTGGCTTACCTCAAGATCATAAAATTTAAATACCAAAAGAGACATAGGATCTAAAACAAGTGACCAAGTAAAAGATATGTATGTCGTTATAAAATTTATGTAATAATAATTCATATTTGCGCACGATGTGGCTTACCACAAGATCATAAAAAATGTTTATATACCAAAAGCGAGGTAGCGTCACGAGTGACTCTAAGCCACAATATAGTTATACGTACGGCTCTAAATATATTGATTGAGCTAAGCTTCTCGATGAAGAGATATTGGAAACGTGGCTGAGTCTGAGACATGAGTTCGCTAAAAGGTAAAAAAAAAAAACCAAACACAATAGCTAAGTAACACCAAGATGGTCCAAACGAGTCAGAGATGATGAGAACATAGAATGACAGTAGCTAAATAGAAAGCGTTTACAGTTTGTGGTTGCGCTTACATAACGGAACTTGTCTTCTATTTTTCTAACTTTGTTTTCGTTTTATTATTTTTGTCTTGTTTTAACCAGACTAGGAAGAACTTGGTCCACTATGGCTATTGAAAACCCCATAAGGGTTTGCAGGGACCAAGAAAGTGACTTGGGCAGCTGGAGGTGTTAGCCGCCACCTCTCTCATAAATGCTTATCATGGAACTTTGTCTACTACAATAAGATTGTCAAGTAAATTACAATACATTGATTATTCTTGAGGATTAAAACACAGTTAATTAGTGATTATGAAAAGAAATGGTTAATATGGTCGCAAATATGGTATTATTTTTGAGGGATAAAAATACACTTTTGAAATTGTCTAAGTTGAAATTTGCTTTTACTCCCATATTAACCTATTTTTCACAATTATTAAATGTTTTTAGTTAATTCGCGAAATGATTTGGTATTTACCAACCAAAAAAATAGTTAGTATATACTAACCAAAATATGGTTAATCTACCAACGGGAAAATTTGATTAGTATTTGTTAACAAAATATTTGGTTAGTATGGGTGCCAAAAAACATTAGTCCGAATTAGTACTCTTTTGATGGTTTGCATCAAAACTTATAAAAAAATATATATAAATGAGCAAAAAAATTGTTAGAAAACATACATAAATCAAAATCTAACCGCCTATTTTATTTCTTTTGTAAGGTGGTTAGCAATTTTATTCCAACCACTTTGTCGAACCGCGAAATTGATCGGTAACCGCCAAAGCAATTGATCTGAAATTGCCAATCAAACCATTATCATTTTTTTTTTCTAGCGTTACTAATCTTTACTCTTTAGTTGGTGAAACCACAATTGTTTTTCATTTATATGTGAAAACCTTGTAAGGTGTCGGCATTATTAAGTAACAGTCACGGTTTTGAAGTAAACAACAAAAATATGCAGAAAATGTGGAACACGACTAAGCATCAATGTATTTAATTAAACCCAATTTACAATGTAAAACTAACAAGACTTTTGTTTCCTAGTGGATTTCTCGAAACGCACATGTAACACATTCACCTTCTAACACATCGACCTAGTGTTTCTTGCTTTTCTGATCACTCATAATCATTTGTTTAATGCTAAAGATCATTGAAAGTTATAATCAAATCTACTTGTTTCACACTTTAGAGAAAATACTATATCTTTTATAATTTGTTAGATAGATATACAGCTATTAACCAGAATTATTTGACTACCATGACTCAGTTTCATGACCATTTGAAAGATAAATCAAAAGCAGAATTTAACAAAACCAAACAAAAAAGCATAATGTTCGATTTTAAGTTCTAATAGGACCTCTTGCTGGAAGAACTCACCAATAACACAGGTTTTGTTTAACCTACCGAGTCAAAGTAATCGAGCAAATACTAGGGTACAAACATGTACTCGCGTCTTATAACATAGCAGACGATTCGAAACTAATGACTTCAATAAGAATATTAAGTTCATATTTGAACGAGACAGAAGAAACCAAGCATGGTCCAGAAGCTGAAAGAAAGATTTTCTTGCTGTCCGTAAGCAAACTATTTTCCCAACAACACCTAATAAGGTAAATCTTTACGATTTAAGTGGTAGTTCGTTTATGAACATGTAGTTTAAGCTATAAATCCGAGGTGCTATATCGAGAATACATTCAAAAAATCGTTTGCAGGAAGCGAGGTTACTACAGCAGATGTTAGCTAGGTATAGGAACAAATCTACACAGCAAGGAGTTCCAAGCTTACACCAACATTATTTAAGGTTGACAATATGTTTTTCTCTCTTTAACGTGAAATAAGATCCATTAAGGTTACTAAAACAAGATAACAACAACAATTTGAGAAACGAGAAACGAGTTTTCTTACTACTGGTTATTGGGTTGGTCCTCGTCTTCCTTCTCAGGGTCGTCTTCTGTTTCTTCTTCTTTCTTCTCGTCCTCTTCTTCATCTTCTTCAGGAGGATCGTAAGGCATTGGGGGAGGCAATGGTGACTTCATAGGACTAAACTTTGGGAATATATCTGGTCTCCTCCCTGGCTTTGGTCTCTCCCATTCCTAATAGTTGCAATAATAAAGCAAGTGAGAGTGAAATGTTTAAAGAACCATAGAGATCAATCATATGCTTCTTTAAACTAAGAAGAGCATAAAAAGGCACACCAAGAAATGCAAAGACAACTTCACATTTCACAATCAGAAATTGGGAACAAATGTGTATGTATCAACTATCAAGGTACGGTGCAAACAAAGAACCAAGAAATCGATGCAGAGGTACGCAAAAAACTCGGTATACTATTGTCACTAGATGCAGCTTCTCTGTAATTGATTCATACATAAACGAGGCGAAAAGGAGTTGGATTATTCACATTCCTGTAACCAAAGAACTCTATATACCTGGTAACTCATAACAAGTGATGATCAGAGTTGGATTATTCACATTCCTCAAACCAAAGAACTCTATACCAGATAACTAATAGCAAGTGATGAACACTGAACAAGACAAGTCATATACAAATCAAAGCTTGAGATAGCCTCACAATCTCATCTGCTACCACATCAAATCAAACTGATAACTGTATAAATCTAAAGGCACAGAACAATAAATTTCCCCAATCTCCTGAAAACTCCAGAATCCAAATACAATTTCCAGAGATACCGTGACTGAAATTTCAAGTTTCTACAACGAAATCGAGACTCTCTATACCAATGTGAAATCCCTAGTAGTCGTGATCGATTACTAAAAAGGAATCGATGCTTACGATAGGGAAATCGAGAGGGTTGCGACGAGTGAGCTTCTCTTCCTCAGGAGCCATAGACACCACCTGCAACTGCTTCCTCGCCTTGCGGCTCAGAGAGAATCGTTGGAAGGAGACGAAACACCAACCAATAGACTTAGCTGCTCTGTTTAGCGACGGTGAAGATAGTGCCGGAGAGAGAAGTGGCAACGGCGACGAAAGCGATGCCGATACATAAAGCGGCGCCATAGCTCCGCCTCTGTCTTCGATGATTCAATCGGTTCCGTTCAACACTTTCATTTTTAATTTATTTTCTTAATTATAATTCAAGTTTTTTTTAAAACAATTACAAGTAAAATATTTGATTAATGTTGTAAACTAAGAGTAAAAATTAGTATTTTTTTTGAACAAATTAGTATATCATAAATATAATCGGATACATTATAGTTATATAATCGAATTTATACTATTAATTTGGAAGGACAACTTGAAGCCAAACACCCCCCAATTTTTTAAAAAAATTTCATGAAATATATTCCAGTTGCCAAACAGAATTAATGACAGCAAAAAAAAAAAAAACAACTATCTATATTTATGGAAATCATAATAATCTTTTACCATAAAAAATGGACAATTAAATTCAAAATTAAATATATGTAAACATATCTATTTTGAATATACATAAACATATCTAATATTAATTTAATATTTTAATATAATTTCGAAATTAATAATTTATATAGAATGAAATATAATAAAACAAAATCATCATATATCTAAAAAACAAAGATAACATTTTTATAGAAAAATAAAAAGATAAAAAAATATGTTAGCTTATGAAATAATCAACTAATCAAATTCTACATAGTAGTATATACATAACTGATCATATCATCAAATTTTGAAAAAAAAATATAATTTTAAATTTAAATAAAATTTAAATAAATCAATAATTAAATATATTTTTGCTAAAACATGCTAATAAAAATTCTAGATCATATAAATTTCTTATTTTCACATAAAAATATTCATATTCAAAAAGCAATCTAGCAATTATAGCACAAAAGATATCTACAAAATTTATCATTAATTCAATTAGTTAATGATTTTTTATTTGGTCAAGCCGTTAGTTAATGATTATTCTAAAATTCTTTTTTCTTATTAATTTCACACAATCTTAACAAAATAAATCTTCACCCATTGGAAATTTGCATATCATTACTATTATCAAATATTAAATAATTGTTTTATCAAATTATAAACTACATTTTGAGATTATAAACATGTAGAATTTCTATTAAGATTAAAACTAAATAACAAGTGGATATATCACATTTAAATGATTTTAACGACTTATTACCAATTTTTAAATAATAAATGGATTATATTTTTATGATTTAATTTAATTGAAAAGAAATTAAATGTCAAATTGGTATGATATAAATGATATAATAAATAAATATCTACAAACATTATCTCACATATACGTACAATTTTAAACTATCCTTGACAACTATAATATATAATTTTTGGATAACCGGTTGCAAAAAAAAAAATTAGTTATATTTAATTCTCAAAATCTCAAAATATTGAACAAAATTCAACTTTGGAACGTATAAATCTCTACTTTTGGATGATTATATGAAATTTTATATATTTTAAAATTATATTTAGTTACATGTAAATGGTGTTATTTATTTAAAAAATATAAACTTATAGGAATAGATTCGAGACGGGAACATATAATTCGAAAATAAATATTATCTGAATTATTTCTCATAAAAAACATGATTAGGTATAATTGTTATGAGACACGGTCATAAAGTTAAATTCACTTTCAACTTTCAAATATAAAACTACAAGTACGATACGGGGACATGTAATTTAAATTGCTAACTTTAATTTCCACTTTCCTATTTATTTCAAATATTTATACATGAAATGACGGGCACAAGATGATAATGTATACTTCAGATAACAAAACTACAATAAATCCATGTATTTAAAATAATAGAAATATCTAAATCTTTAGAAAACAAAAAGGCTAAAACATGAATCTTTGAATTGAAGAAAGTAATGAGAAATAAAGATGAAACTGAAAGATCAATAAAATTAAAAATCGAACAATGATTGTGTATGCTAGGATTACAAACAGTGCCTTGTGAATGAAAATAGTGGGAGCATGTGACTTAGATTGATAATTTCATTTTTATTAGTTTGATAAAAATAAATATTTAAACGAGGAAGGGTATCCCATCTAAATATTTTACCAAGTTTCTTATAATAAACATTGACAAATGATTATGTTTTAAAAAGAAACGATTATGGGACATAAATTTTATAACAGATAGAAAAGGGGACGGGACGGGGCGGGGTGGGACGGGACAGGTCAGGACGAGACGGAAAAAGACATGACGGGTTTTCCATTCTAAACTACACATAAAACAATTTAAACTAAAGCCAAACTCAAATCCGATTTAACATCTCTAAGCAAACAATTAGAAATGTTTTGATTAGTTTAAAAAATAAACACGCAATATCATTTATCATTTTCATTTAAATAATTTTAAAATTGTAATATGTAATATGATATTTATATTTTACAATTGTATGTCTATAAATAGTTTATCAAATAAACTCATACAACAAAATTTTACAAAAATAGCATCTATTTAAAAAATCGTAATTTTGTAAAAACAACCCCGCACGTACGTGCGGGTCCATCACTAGTATACTATATATAAGTATAAGTTATGTATAATAAAAATAAATAGGTAAGAAGGTCTTGTTATACTTATCTGTTATTCTAGTTATTTCACATAATATGTGGACCATTCTAAATAATTTTCACTAATTATAATACTAAATAATCAAGTTAACAAATCAATAAAACACTAATAATGTTTATAATTCGCAAAAAGAGGTAAACAAATTTTATTGTAACAAACATTAAAGTAATACAAAACCTAATTTTGTTAATGTTATTATATAAAATCTTAACATTCTCACTAGAATGTGACATGTGACAAACTATTAACTTAATTATGTTCTTAATATATTCAGCAAAAAATAAAGTTCTTTATCCTATTGAAAAAGATATATATGAAATTCGTTAATGTTATTATACAACATGCTTAATATATATGAAAGTTTTTCTGTCAGTAAATTATTTTAATACTCTCCATACCGAAACATGTTGATTCAAAATCAATAAAAACTTTTATATGGGTTTACAAATATTTAATTGAATAAATCCTCCTTATTGTTTAAATGTTGAATGAAATATTTAATTTTGATAAGTCAATACCTATATTTAGAAATAAATTTCTGAATAATAAGGATAAATAGTATATGGAATATAATTCAAAGTGGTTGAAAAGAAAAATAATAGAATTAAATAAATGAAATGTAAAAGGTTAAGAATAATTGTGGGTTTGACATATTAGCACAAATGACATTCTTTTAATATATAGATATTATGTGTATTATGTGATGATTCAATTCTTTTCATGATTATATAAGTTTACACTTAATAAAAAAATTAAGCAGTTGAAATCCAATGACATTAACATATTAGTAAAAAGATAATTTGTTCATAGAAATTTATATAAAACTGATTCTCAACTAATACTAATAGATTGTCACCACTAACATTTGGTATGTATTAATTCTAATAATCTTTGACATGACTGGACTTGCTTATATATATGGATGAATAAATGGCTAAACACTACATCAACCTTTCACAAGAATAAATTGCTTAATTCAGATTTTGCAAAAATTGAAAATGATGAATATTTCTTTGAAGCTCTCACTCTTGATTTTCATTTTGGTCATCACATCTGGTAAGTGTTTATACAAAACTTATTTTTTCGACAAAAACAAAAACATGTTTATTCAAAACTTTTTTTTTTTACGACTTTTAAATAAAAATACTTTCAAGTATCAATGGATCCAATGTATATTCTTTAACTAAAATATTTTTAAAATAAATCCTTACCTAAGAGATTTCTACTTGTCATCCTCTTTAAAAACTGTCAGGTAAATTATTAATGAAACCTCCTCATAATTTATCCATCTAGTTATTATATAAAAGTACCTTTAAGTAAATCTTTATAAACAATAAATGAATAGATATTGGATCAGAAGCAAGGGAGCTAATAGGAGCTAACAATGAATTCGAAGTTCCCGCCGAAAGTTCAAACTACGCCGGTACCACCAGGACCTTGATGCAAGACCCGCTCCAAGGTCAAACTTGCAAAGCTGATGCTGATTGCTTAAAATGTTCCACAGGATTTGCAACATGTTATTATGGCAAATGTTTTTGTTACTACCAATAAACAAATTTCTACTCGGATCAACTTGCATTAATTTCAATACTAATAATCAGAAATTGAATCGACCAATAATAAAATAAAGAATTTGATTTTGATTTTCTCTTTTTAAATCATCTAGCATTAATCTTCACATCTATGTAGGGGTGCAAAAGTTGTATACCAATCTCGTAGTATATGAATCATCTATTGACAGTTCTATTTATATAATTCTTTGTAAACATTTATGCTCCTTTCGTTTTTATATAGAAGTTTTTTAGGTTTAGAAATATTTTTTAAAAAATTGATGAATTTTTCGCAAATCTATGCAAAATCAATTAGAATTTGTTGATTTTAATTATTTATATTAATCATGTTGTTTTTTTATTGATTGAATTGTATCAAAGTAGCTATTAAATAATGTTTTAGTTTAAATATAAACAACAATTAATTGATTCCTTAATCTATGTGCACAATTATAAAAACTCATTTATATAAAAACGAAGGGAGTACGTAATTGTTAAAAAGATATTTTCATGATACATCTTCTTATATAACTGTTCATAATAAAATACTTATGAAATTTGACTAGTTTGACTAATAGACACTTTAAATTTTATTTAGAATCAATACTAAGGCTTCCACAATCAAAGTGAGACATTTTCAGCCGCAACCGAGAAAGGAAAGACCTAAGGAACATGTCTGTGAACAAGTTCATACACTTCCCTCTGCTTTGTTGTATGAAACCTACAATATATGATGCCATTATAAGTTCAATGCTTCTCCATTTCCTTTGTCCCGCATACTTCTTCAAACCTACTTCAATCCGCTTATAACTCTCCTTCTCATCTTCTGTTTCACCTTTAAGATTCTTAAATTTTATAGCTTCACCAAGACAACGAGCAAGGATAACACCATCTTCCATGGCTGAGCAACCACCTTGTCCTATATCAGGAGTCATTGGGTGAAGTGCATCCCCTGCCACGCATACGTTGTCTTTCGCAATGTTTGCCCAAAGAAGTTCCCATGGAGGTCGGTATTTCAATCGGGACATCACCATGTTATCAAGATCAGTGGTCTCCACAACATTCTTGATGTTCTTAGGTAAGTCTCTAATCATGTCCAACACAAACTGTTTGATATTTTCCGGACTTGTCTCCTCGGCTAACAAGCGCAAGGAGAAGAGTCAATGATAGTATAGAGGATATGAACAAGATCATGTATACAATAAAAGTTCCATTTACCTAAATTAGTAGACGTGTGAGTTACGAACCAGTAGACACTGTTATGATTGCACGGGACGAAACCAGAACGAACACCATTGCCATAAAACTGAAAGAACCTTTTCTCAAATCCATGGCCTGTTGGGAAATGCGCAAGCCCTCGAATTGCTAACCGGTTAGTTGTAACCGGATTCTTGAAGCCTAGCCACTTAGCTACCACTGAGTTCACTCCATCACACCCTACCAAGACCTGAACGTCGTTTAGAAACCCCACAGTTCAGTTACATGACCAGCCCATTACACAAAAACAAGTAGTTACTACCTTGGTTTTGAGAACACTCCCGTCTGAGAGATGAACCATCTTGTAGCGACCAGAAAATTCAATATGAACAAGCTTAGATAAGAACCTTATGGTCCCTTCAGGTAACTCACTCGCTAGAGCCTCTAACAACATCTTCCTATGTACACATCGAACCTCATATTCTCTTGCAAAACCATTTCAACAGACAAGGTTAGAAACTTTTCTTTCTTTGTTGTTATTATGTAAAGTCCATCTAATAAGAAACCATACTCAAAGTCTGGTAATAACATCTCTTTAGGAGGAGTTTCAGCAGAGATTGGTCCGACCATCCATCTAAATCAAGATCAAAGATAAGTTCCTTTGCCACAGAACCACTATGAAAAAAGTAATTGTTAGTTACCCGTGAAGACGATCATGGAGATCACGAAGATGCTGAGAGATACCAAGAGCTTCTAGGGCCTTCCAAGCATTGAAATAAGTAGATAGTGCAAATCCTGTTGCTCTCAGTTTCTCAGAAGATTCAAGCACTGTGCTTCTGATCCCAAGCCTGTGACACAAACACACACCACTTTGGTTAACTTACTCTGTTTCTTATAACTCAAAAGAAGCTGTACTTTCACACACACTGACACACCTATGAAGCCCAACGGCTGTGGCAAGGCCGGAGATTCCAGCTCCGACGATGACTATATCTCTAGTGCCTTCTGCTTCCATGGTTAGAGAGCTCTGCTTTACTTGTTTTGATATGTGAAGGTTCTGGAGGCTGGAGGAGGATGACTAGTCAAACAAGGCACTTAAGCTCTAGCGGTGGTTACAGTTATGATTCTCTAATCAAATTCCAACCTTGAGTAAAACTTATGTAAAATCAATGAAATTTGATACTAATATTTTTTTGGTCCTAAAATGATTTTTATGAATCAAATAATATTTGGTGAAAAAAAATCAAATAATATTATTAAATTATGTATAATTTGATATCTTGATAAATTAATATTAGTAGAGGCTAGACAATTTGACGTAAACAAGCTTAGATTAGAACAGTTCACCACATATTCTCTGACCAAACAATTTCAACAAAGGTTATAATGGTTCATAGTTTCCATAGTTAAAAATTATTACATGTGTTTATATTTTTTTTCTTAAATTACATCACATATGATCTACCAAGTCAATGCGACGACTTGGTAGAGTAAAAGATTTTATAAACAATTGGCTACAAAATCCATTTACAATTTTGTTTTGTCAACTAGATTACCATGCATCCATTATAAGTATTTTGCAAACAAATCCATAGAACTTATTATAATAAATTAATAATATATATGTCAGATAACTGATCACTATTTCATTTAAAGAAATATGAAAATGGAAATGTATCCATTCAAACTTGAATTGTGATAGTTACTAAAGATTTTGTATTCTATTCTATTTGTATATAGATTCCTTTCCACTTTTGAAAGTCAAACAAATCTTAATAGTCTGTCAATTAAATAGTTTTTAGAAATTAATCTAAAAGTCTTTATTACTTGATAACACAACCCAATAACATGGTTGGACTTGGCAATATATATATACCTATACACTAGCTAGGAACTAAAGCACTATCAAACTTTCAAGATATTTCATTTTCAAAGTTGAAAAAATCCCAAAACAAAATCGAAAATGAAGAACGTTTCTCTCAAGCTTTCACTCTTGGTTTTCATTCTGGTCATCACATCTAATAAGTGTTTTTATTTGATTTATATATCTAAAAAAAATGATGAAAATGTCCATCAATATACATCTTATAAATATATGTAGACATCAAGAAAATAATTCTATTTGCCAATGCTTAGTTATTATTGTCATAAAATAGTATCTATCATATAAGAATTACAGTGATTCAAAGAGTGATTAGTAGATCATTTTGATGTGAGTAAGTGGTTGAATCATAATTTTTTTTAACCTAAAGCCACTTTGTTTATGCAAATGATGTATGAGAAGATCTTGGAGCAGAAGCAAGACAACTAACCGATGAAAGTGCCGCCGCAAGTCTAGAGTATGTAAGCCCCAATGACACATTGGACAAGACTTTAAGTTGCAAGAGAGACATCGATTGTAGCTTAAAATGTCCCGGTCCAAAGGGAGGGTTCTGCAACAACCATAACATATGCGAATGTTTGTAAAATTAATCACATTGTAATCTACCTTTATCTATCAGCACTTCAAACGTTATATTCTCATATGTATTTCAAGATTAATAATAATAATAATCGAAAATAAATTTTAAAACTCTAAGCCACTTAGCTTCAAAGTCTACACTTGAAGCAAACAAGCTTTTGACTAAAGCTCTTGTGCTCTATCATTGTGCTCTATCATTGTGCTTGCTCATTGAGACTCATTCATGGCTAAGTTTTCCACAGTTGAAATGAGATTTTTTCATCAGCAACCAAGAAAGGAAAGAGGATAAGAACTTGTCTCTGAACAAGGCCATCCACTTCCCTCTACTCTGTTGTATGAAACCTATTGTGTATGATGTAGTTATTAGATCAATGCTTCTCCATCTCCTTTCTCTTGCATACTTGTTCAAGCCATCTTCAATCCGTTTATAATTCTCGTCCTTATCTTCTATTTCACCTTTAATATACTCAGCTTTCATAGCTTCACCGAGACAACGAGCGAGGATAACTCCGTCCTCCATGGCCGAGCAACCACCTTGTCCAATATCAGGAGTCATTGGGTGAAGTGCATCCCCTGCAACACATACGTTGTCTTTTGCAATGTTTGCCCAAAGAAGTTCCCATGGAGGTCGATACTTCAATGGAGACATCACCAAATTATCAAGATCAGTGGTCTCCACAATACTCTTGATGTTGTCAGGCAAGTCTTTGATCTTGGCCAACACAAACTGTTTGATATTTTCGTGATTCTTCTTATCTAACAAAGTCAAAGAGAGGATTCAATGATATGAACAAGAACCATGTAGATATATATATACAGTAAAGTCTTATTTACCTAAATCAGTAGAGGTGTGGGTTAGGAACCAGTAGACAGTGTTTTGGTCACATGAGATGAAACCAGAACGAACACCTTTGCCATAAAACTGAAAGAACCTTCTCCCTAACCCGTGGCCTGTCGGGAAATGAGTGAGTCCACGGATTTCTAACCGAGGACTTTTAGCCGGATTCTTGAAGCCTAGCCACTTACCAACCACTGACTTCACTCCATCACACCCTACCAAAACCTTTAAAGACAACAATTCGTTTACAAGACCAGGCTATTTTACTCAAGAGTCAGAGTACTGAGTAGGACCTTAGTTTTGAGTATAATCCCATCAGAGAGATGAACCATCTTGTAGTGTCCGGACAATTCGATATGAACAAGCTTAGATGAGAACCGTATGGTCCCTTCAGGCAATTCACCAGCTAGAGCCTCTAACAGCAACTTCCTCTGTACACATCGAACTTCATATTCTCTGACAAAACCATACCAACAAAGGTTATAAAGGTTTCTTCTTTCTTGAAAATAGTCTAGGGAATGATAAGATACATACTCAGATTCTTGAAAGACCATTTCTTTAGGAGGATCCCCTGAAGAAATAGGTCTGACCACCCATCTGCATCAAGGTCAACTATAAAGTTCATAGTTACTAACTATTAATAGTAATAGTGTTTAATTTGTTAGTTACCCTTGAAAGCGATCACCGAGACTACGAACATGTTGAGAGATACCAAGAGCTTCCATGGCTTTCCAAGCATTAAAATATAAAGAAATTGCAAATCCTGTGGCTCTCAGCTTCTCAGAAGATTCTAGTACTATGCTTCTGATCCCAAGCCTGTAACCTCCAATTTTGATTAACGAACTCACCTAGATACTATAACAGATACTTTGACACACATACATATACACACCTGTGGAGACCAAGTGCGGTGGCAAGACCGGAGATCCCAGCTCCGACGATGATGATATCTTGGGTACTTTCTGCTTCCATGGTGCGTTGATTATATCGTAGAAAGCTCTGATTAAAGTAAGACAACGAAAGAAACCACTTAATTCAATAACTATGTATATATTAAAGAGTTCATCATCGTGTTTAGAGTAGAACACGCACTTTTGGCGCGTGGAATGGAACAATATACGGACAAAACAGTCTTTGGCAGTTGCCAGTTTGGCTCTTAGCCATGTGAGTCTTCGGTTAACCGTGTTCGGTTTCGACTCGGTTGGGTTCGGTTTCGGTTAGTTTGAATATTGTAGTACAATAACCATTCGGGATACTTAAGAAATTTCAGCTTAGTTGGAAGTTGGAGATAGTTTATATTACAGACTTCATATTCAATTCTTGTATAGTATATACAGATTCTCTCCCTTTAAAGATTTGAATTCTTCTATTCTATTTGTATCGATTACTTAACAATTTTGAAGTTTTGAGTGATGGAACAAATCTTTTTATTCTATCAATTACATAGTTTTTAAAGGAAATAATTGATCTGATATTTGATAACATAACCAATAACAGGATTGGACTTGCCAAACTATAAGGATATATATACACATGCACTACGAATTGAAGAAGCATTATCAAACTTTGAAGATATTCCAATTTTATAGTTGAAAAAAAAAATCAGAATGAAGAACGTTTCTCTCAAGATTTCTCTCTTGGTTTTTATTCTGGTCATCACATCTAGTAAGTGTTTGTTTATTTTTTTTTAAAATATATCTAAATCAATATACATCATTCTCTCTGTTTTACAAAGAGTGTTTGTTTTTTTGTGCATATAGAATATTAAACAGTGTATCAATCAATGCTAGAATATAAACTTGTATAATTTTCTTAGTGTCTGTGAAAAATACTACAATGATTGTGTAAAAGAGAAGGAGTATGATGTTTTTTCTAATCATTTCGTTGTGTTTGTTGCATATGCAAAATGATGGAGAAGATCTCGGAGCAGAAGCAAGAGAGCTTCGTGGAGTTGATGAGAAGAAACTAGAGGGTTTCGCCGGAAGTTCAAGTTACGCCGGCGGCAGTTATTCGAACATACCGTGCAAGAGAGACTTTGATTGTGTCTTTACATGTCCCAAAGATGGAATCTGTAATGTTGGCTTAAACAAATGTTGGTGTTTCTAATTTAAAATAGTGCAATTCTCTAATCTACTCTTATCAATAAGACTTAATCCATTGATACTTGAGACTTTACTTTATATTACTCGTTTTTAAAATTCATAATCATAAGCTTTATGGAAGAGGTCTACACTTGAGGCTTCTTCCTCTTGCTAATGATAATCTTGACCTTGAAGAGACTTTTTCTCTTCTCCTTCTTCATCACTGTCTGGAACAATGGATGTTTCTTCCAAGACCGAGTTATCAAACTCACCTCGCCAACTTCTTGAATCTTCGTTTTGATTCGTTTCTAGTTCCGTTTCAGTTTGCGAAGGTACCTTGGTTTTGCTAACTTCAGTGAACTCTCCAAGTGGTCTCAAGGACAGTTTTCGGCTTTGTCTATGGTTGTAACTCTTTGCAGCAGAAGTTTGATAACTCGCCAAGGTGTCATTACATGGTTGCTTCACCCTCAGAGAAAGCTTCTTTCCGTTTGAATTTGGTTTCTTGTTTTCTTTGCAAACAGCTGAAACAACTGCATTTGCGAGCTCTTCGCCGCACAACTCTTTCGTCTGAGATTGCAGAGGCAAGGCAAGAGATAACTTTTTCCTGCTCGTTTTTATCCCATCGTTACCAGATGTATTCGCCTCGCAAAAACCAATCGCTGCTTTTCTTTTCCCATTTCTATCCTCTTGTTGATCTTTTGCTGCATTATCACTGTTCAAAGTATGTGCTACCCTCAAGGAGGAATCCACTGTCAACTTCAGCTTACTCCCATCGTCATTACCAGCTATACTACTATTTCCACTTCCACAAGCCTTCTCATCTCCACGATTCTAAATACACAAAACCATACTTAAAAACCTCAATGACGAAGATTCAGATTTTGCAAATAAGTATATAAAATAACCAATTTATCCACCTTAATTTGGAGGCTTGTACTGCATCCATCATTCTTAACCTTTGCATACTTCTCAGTCATCTCTCGTGCCTTATAATCAAAACTTTGTCTATTGTATATTTACTCCCTGCTCTGTAAATGCCAGAAACAAAAAACTTAAAACAAAAGCAAAATCTCAGAGAATATAAAAGTCTTACACAAGAGTTAGACTTACTACTTCACACATCAAACCATCATCCGGATTCGGTTCACCAAGCAGCAATCTTATGCTCAACAATACTGTTGATATATTCAGAGATGGTTGCCAAGCCCCCTATCACAAACTAAACACTGTTATCCCTTTATATAAGAAAACACACTTTTGCTTCAATTCATAACAAGATTCAAGATTACAGATTTCATAAGCAGGAACATTCATGTGTTCCATCACTACTACTGAGTATCTTTCATGTATTATGAACAAACACAAGATTGATTACATGAATTGGAAGCTTTTAAAGCTTCAATCTAACAAAGACTGAGACAATCTCTCTAGCTAAAACATCAGTCCAACACACATATCTCTAACCTTGGGAGGGAGATTTAAGATGTCAAGGCAAATCCGGCCACTGTTATCGATGTTGGGATGATAAATCGGAGTAGCAAAGGCCACAATTAGTGGCTGAAATGGATATCTGATAGATCCAGATTCTCATCAGAACCATAACGACAAATCATCTAAACCACAACAGAGAAGGATAGGTACCTCTCAGGGATTTGAATCTTCACATTGAAGGTTCCATTAGCATATACAGTATCTTCAGGACCTTCGATTTCTGCCAAAACCAAAACCAAACACGAAAAAATCAAATTGAGAAGAGTCTATAGAGAGTATCAATCACGCGAAATGGAAAAAATCAGAAAGAGGAGATGAAGAAGAAGCTAACGAGCATCGATGGTGGAGAAAGTGGAGAGATCGCCGGAGCCAGCGGCGGTGGAAGAGAGATGTGGAAACGAAGCGCCGTGAGGTGGATCGGAGAGGAGAAGCTTCACCTCTTTGTGCATTCTCATGCTTAATCTCGCTGCTTGAGCCATTGATTGAGACAATGTCTTCTTCTTCTTCTTCGTCTCCACAGCTTCTGATTAAAAAAAAAAAAGTGTTTGGGGGCAAAAGGGATTTTGCGGTGATTGGCACTGGCGGGGAAAGAAAAAAGTGTTTGGGGGCAAAAGGGATTTTGCGGTGATTAGCACTGGCGGGGAAAGAAAGGTTATTAATTTTCAAGTCCCAATTATTATTAGGCCCAAAACGAGTCGGCCCAATATAGAAACTCAATTCAAAAATAATTGATCCAAAACTCAAAACTGATCAGCAGCAGTAAAAATACACTTTTGCTTCAATGTTCGCGTATTTCAGGTTTTCGAGTTTAATGGTGGTATAGGCTGTTTAGGTATTTTTAGAATTCGGGTTTGGATCAGTTTCGGGTTTGAATTACCAGAAATTCCGAAACTCAAAATTTTAATATTCGAATATGTCCAAACTACTATAAAATATTTAAACTATCGCAACATTTTGAATATTTGTATCCGAATTTACTAATAAATAATTTAATGCTTAAAGCATTTATCCAAATATACAAAAAATCTAATACTTAAAGCATTTAAATTATTATAAATATATATATTTATATTGAGCGTATTCGGGTATCCGTTCGGATTAAAATTTTTGAATTTCGAAATTTATAACTCATTTCGTATTCGAACCTGGATTCAGATTTTTTAGATCGGATTCGGATTTGTTTCTCGGGTTTGGTTACTTTGTCCGGGTCATTGATCTATCGTCAATGATGTTATAACGTAAACAAATTATTTTCAAAATAATTAATCTTTGCCTCTCGATAGGGTACACTATCTCCCCAATGACGTATGAAATGATGTATAATCGCCTACTAAACTATCTTATTCGTACTAACATCAATATGTTTATACTATTTACACAACTATGTTCGTATACCTGAATTAAACAACGTAATTAGTTAACAATCCAGAAGAATATTAAAAAAGAGCAAAAAAACACTCGAGTAGTGGAGCTAGTGTGAATCGCCAGCTAGAAAGATTCTAAACACAAACGTGTCGAGTCACTACTCGTTCCTCAGAGTCACTAACCAGTGCGGACCATGTCAGTATCCCACGCACCCACCCACACGCTCGCTCCTCTCCTCTCCTCTCCTCTCTTCAAAAATATCTCAAAGTAGTATACAATGGTTGGGACTTGGGACTTGGGACCAAATAACTTGCCACCTAAGAAAAGCAAATTTTTGACCTAAAAGGCTTCGAGGCACCTGCATGGGTTTCATATTTGTCTCGTGACAGCAGCATAAAAGAAAAAACCACGAACTTGCCACGTTATTACAAAAGCCATACCACGTCACCGTCTCAGTGTGTTAACACTATCTTTGCTCTCTTTTAATTTCGTTTATGGACGAGACAACAAAAGTTATGTAGTGGGGAAGAGATGTCTCCTCCAATTACTTTTTTAATTAAAATACTCAATAAGTATTTTATAAATAGAAACAGATAAATTAATTGTAGGTTGACAAAACGTTAATTTAATTACAATAGATAGTAGTTGACAGTGCTGAAATTTCTTCAAAAGTAAATATAATTAATTGTCGTAATAGAGAGGTAATTAACCTATCGATCTCTACTACTAAATTCTAGTATTTCTTTTGAAACAAAATTTAAATTAAAATCGAAATCAAGATCAATCTAACTAAAATAGTTGGCGAAATCATTTTTATAGCCTTTTCTATCTATTATTGGGTCAAAAATGGTGGTAGGAAATAGTTGTTTTCTTATAGTATAATGATTTTAAAGCCATGTAAAATATATGATTAAAAAACAAATTTTGGTAAAGATGAGTGTAACTCTTAATAGTATCTATTATCACTATAAAACAAAATCAATAGTCTTTAAAATTATAAAATAAATTGGTGACTCTAAGTAATTGTTTAATCCACTTGTTCTTTGTAACAAGCCTGATAAAAATTTCCCTTAGATATTGAAACTGTACTAATACTATTAATCAAAGAAACAAAAGCTATAGTTTGTGGCTAACCCCATTTGCCGATCAAAGTAATATTATTGATCAGAAAATAGTTGTAAGATTCGATTTAAAAAGTAATATTTACTATAAAAAGAAAGGAGACAACAATTAAACAAAAAAATGATGAAAAGTGGAGAAACTGTCTCTCGCCTATACGAGGAGGTCATTGTTCTTAGGCTCTCGATGATTAAGGACCATGCTTTGATTCACTAAACTCTTGTTTTATTCAAACTATATAACATTATTATAACACATGTAATATGTGGTTAGCATTTGACCCACGTCCCCTGAATTAAGTCTATATTAACTAATCAGTATTTAATTAAGAAAAGTTATACTATAGTCTCCATAAGATTGCTATTGGATTTCTCAGTGGTGTGTTTTAAACAATATATAATAGTAATGCCTTTGGATTCGTGTGATTTTGATTGGAAACTAAAGGGTTTTTGATTACTAACCAAGCAATCTTTGTCCATTAGATTAGTTTATGTTTATGGAAACTTTATAATACTATAACCTCCTTGTAGCAACACTTGTGTGGCTATTTACTCCAGAGTCCATGGATATGTATAGGAAAATAGTAGTGATATCGCTTTGACCAGATCATGTTTTGTTTTCTCAATCTATCTATAAATTAAACATCATCTTTACTTGGCATTTAGTGTTGGTGTTTCATGTTTGCAATAAACAATACTACGATTGCATGTGTCATTAGATTGTCTTAATGATATGCGACAAAGAAAACAAGATTTGTCTTGATCATATATATTTCAGGATAAAATTCAAGGGCATATGAGACCATATGTGTTAGCTAGCTAGATATCACTATTATACAAATCTTATAAAATATGTGATATGTTCTATTCTATGATGCTTGCTTGAATCAGTACTTTTTCACTTTATAAGATATTTTAAAAACCAATGACTGATTCCTACAAAACACTATATAGTAGTATAGTTTCATAAGTAAACGATCGATAAAGATTATAACACACAGCTTCATATGCACTGGATCATCATCATAAGAGAATAAGATTAAGAAAACCAAAAAGGGCAAAAAAGACCTGAGAGGGCTTTGAGGACACCTGCATAGAGGTCCCAGCTCTGCACCCCGTGAACACCGTAAAAGCAAAACACGAAGTCGCCACGTTATCAGAAAAAGCAAGCCACGTCGATATTAGTCTCACTGTCACAACAAAACACTTACTATTTTCACATTTTTAATTTCCTATTTCAACTTCTTTTTCTTTTTCTTTTTGTTTATATAAACCCTTCAGGTTCCTTCTTAATTTCTTTACGAACAACAAACATATAAAGCCATATATAAAAAAGAGAGAGAGAAAGAGAAGAAATAGATATGGAGGACGACAATAATAACAACAACAACAACAACAACGTGATCGCACCTTTCATTGTGAAAACATATCAGATGGTCAACGATCCTTCTACCGATTGGCTCATCACTTGGGGTCCTGCTCATAATAGTTTCATAGTCGTTGATCCTCTCGACTTCTCTCAACGGATCTTGCCTGCTTACTTCAAACACAACAACTTCAGCAGCTTCGTTCGTCAACTCAATACCTATGTAATTAATCTACTTTCTTGTTCTTTTTTCTGGGTTAACTAAGAGGTTATGAGCCGAAACTCGAAAAGACAAAGACAGAACAAAGTTTCGTCTTCCGACACTAATCTTTATGTCTTTTTTTCTCTTTAGGGGTTTAGAAAAGTGGATCCGGACAGGTGGGAGTTCGCGAACGAACATTTTCTAAGAGGACAGAAGCACTTACTAAGAAACATAGCGCGTAGAAAACACGCGCGTGGTATCTACGGCCAAGATTCAGAGGACGGCGAGATCGTGAGAGAGATCGAACGGTTGAAAGATGAGCAAAGAGAGCTAGAGGCAGAGATACAAAGGATGAACCAAAGAATCGAAGCTACTGAGAGGAGACCGGAGCAGATGATGGCGTTCTTATACAAAGTCGTGGAAGATCCTGATCTCCTCCCAAGGATGATGCTAGAGAAAGAACGGACCAAGAAACAAGTCTCCGACAAGAAGAAGCGTCGTGTAACAACAGTTAAAGCAGAGGAAGAAGAAGAAGAAGAAGAAGACGAAGGGAGGGTGTATAGAGTTATGTCGTCGTCGTCACCGTCGTCAACGGAGAATCTTTACCGGAACCACTCGCCGGAGAATTCTTTAGGGTGGTGTGTTCCAATAACGCAAGGACAGTTCGGTCTAGTGACGAACTCAATGATCTCTACGTCCTCGTCGTCGACGTCATCGTCTTTAACGTCGACGTTGTCTTTACCGGAGAGTGTAAACGGAGGAGGAGGAGGAGGAGGATGTGGGAGTATACAAGGAGAAAGGTATAAAGAAACGGCGACGTTTGGAGGAGTGGTAGAGTCAAATCCACCAACAACACCGCCTTATCCGTTTTCTCTGTTTCGAGGTGGCTTTTAGGCTTTTAGCTTCACATGATATATCATCTCAATATTATTATTATGGTTTCTTGTATTATTATTATTATTTCATTTTTGTTGTTTGTTGTTCTGATTATTTTTGTAAAAGTATAACCAAGAAATAAGGACAGAGATGATCGAAGTAAGTTACGTGACAGTGGGAGATAGATAGAGTCAGAAGTCATCGTTTATTAGAAAGTTTGACGAGTATATAATTTTTTCCTAATTATATTTTTGTTAAAGCTGATATGTTGACTTTGGTTTTAAGTATTTTTCCAGGTGATTTGTAATTTATTATATACTTTTGTAATAAACAACAATTTTGATCTTCTTTTGTGTGTTTTGCTTTATATATATGATTTATTATTTATTGATTGAGGAAACACTTTTGAGAAAATTATCTTATTTGGTTTTCTCTCTATACAAGACATGTGAGGATGCATCCCCAAGGTTTTAACTTTTAACTTTGTTCATAGATTTAACCTTACATTTTCGATTCAATTGTTTATACAAACACATTGCTGAACTACATATAAATTCAAAATTGTCTATACCACATTAGATGTAGATTTGGCATATATATGAACCTCAATTAATGAGTATATGCGAACACACTTTACCTATAAAAATTTATACCACCTGCACCTCATCTATTATGTCGGCATGAAAGACAATTTAACCTGACTACTGATTCTAGGTTTATCAATCTTATAAGAAAACCACAATGATGGAGACATGGATCGGACCAAAGTCTAAGACATTACTTAATTTTTTAGAGTATTTGACTTTCTTTTGACACTTGTTCAAAACACATGATAGTTCAAGATTTGTTTATAGACTAGCTTATTATACCCACATGCTCAAAGCTAACTAGTAGAAACATTGCCCAAGTATTTAGCCGTGGTTGAAGCGACACTAGTCGATCGAGTGGTAGTAACAAGTCAACAAGGCACCCACTCAGATTTCAAACGTATCCCCCCACCCCAACACGACGATCCACTCTCACTGTCATCTAAAAATTATTTTAAAGTTTTTGAGACGTGACAGTTAGCCATGGGACATTGGTCGATCGGGCCAAAAACGTTTCGAACACTCATTGGGTTAGTGAGTGTCTTAAACAACGATTGATCCTAATTTTGGACCACATGATGTCTCACACTAAGACGCGTGTCGATTAGCATATAGTGGCAAAATCTCTTGTAAAGATGTGCTGATCCCACACTTTGATTGTCGATACGCACACATCATGCAAAAGTAACTATCGCAAAAAAATTTTTGTAGTTCATGATTAATTGATTAGCTCCAATAATATTACTTCTTTTTTCGGTGTTAAGATGACGATAACATTTTTGAAGATGAAAAGATTGAGAGTTTTATAAAGTTTTTATAATTAAAAATTAAATATTTTTCGTATTAGTCTTCTTTACATGTCTAATGTATTATGGTTAATTTTGAATGTTAATGTTAAAAGATTCGTAGATGGTGTACCTAGTAATAAAAAATTATATGTTATGTAAAATTTTTCTATTAATTTGATAATAATATTTTACACCATCATTTAAACTTTTTGGCCAAATACTTCTCCAATCAATAGATAAGTAATTAACATACATCCTTACTTAATTTTTTTTTAAAAAAACTGAATTCGAATATATTGAACGGTCTACTTTTGCAACTATCCATTAAAAAGCACAAAGGACTCCTTAGCATTTCATTTTTTATACACTATTAATTAGCTAGCAAAACACACTATTGGTTATCGATTAGCCTAACCTCAATTTAGTAATCAGAATTGTATTTTGTTGTCCAAATCAAAATGCGTGACACTAACACTTGGACAGAAATGGAAACATTTGTCCGACTAGTTTGAAAGGTTGACAAAGAGCGAACCCGATTGGAGGATGTCACAGTCTCTTTTAGGATCTAGCGAATCAAAAGGACCATTCTTTTTGATGCTATAAATTGTTGTTTTATTCAAACCATGTAAAAGTTTTGGAATTATTTTTTTTTTTTATAATGCACCTAACATGTGGTTAGTGATTGACCCACGTCCTTTTAATTTTAAAATCTACATTCTTAATTGGTAGATTTCTTTTTTGTGCATTAGGATATTGGGTTTTTTATTGGTGATGGTTAGACAATAAATAAAGTAGTGTATCTTAGTTAATATTGATGTGTGTTAGATTTTGATTGGGTTAGAGGTTTTAATTCTTAACCAAGCGAATCTTGTTGTCCTTTAAAAAATGCTTTCTTTTATAATAGCACATGAATTGATTCATTCCTTGAATACCAACGTAAGTAAAAATAAATTCATTTGTAAAAAAAATTTATAGAAACAACGTAAGTGAACATATAAAATTAAAAAAATAAATAATAGCATCCTTGAAGAAAGCATTAAGAACTTCTTAGTATACAAAATATAAAAATTACATAAATTTTTATTTTTGAAAATCATTATATTATGAATTCAATTAAACTTTAGTTATCTTTAATTTAAACAAAAAATATCACTTTTCGACAACCTTTTATTCACTCTCTTGATATAGCCAATGAAATTGTTCGATGACACTTAAGACACTCAGATATACACAATTAGTGTCACATTTTTTTACATTTATTTTAAGATTTAATAATTTGATATTTAATCATCTAATTAGATTAATTTATAATTATCAATATTATATCATAGTAGTCTGTAATGTAGATACTATTCTCCAATGAAGATGGTCTAAAATCAAAATGACAAAATAAAAATTAAAATAATAATCATTTTAAAAATAATCATAAACGTGTTATTATTTGTAATATTAATGTGTAAGCTATATTTAAATCAAATAATTAAATATTTTTACAAAAAAACTATGTTTACTGGTAAAATAACATTAAAAGTTTAAATAACTCATAATAAATAGAAAACCAAAAATATTTCATCTTTTTCTTGAAGACCTACTTGCAGCCTAAAATCATGATTAGTTTTTCTTAGTCCTAGACGTTTGAGTGCGGTTTAGTTTAGGTTAATTTGGTTAATTGAATCAAAAAACCAATTATGAACCAAAATATTTTTGGGTATTTTTCTATATCTAGGAAGTTTGTTTTAATTGAATCAAAAAACCAATTATGAACCAAAATATTTTTGGGTATTTTTCTATATCTAGGAAGTTTGTTTTGTTAAATATATTTTTTTGAACAAAATTAAAAAATTAGAAATTAATGACATCAAATTTTCTATTAAAAAATGTTCTATGAAGGGTCTACAATAAACTCCATATATAGTGACTCTTTACCAACTACAAAATCAATGCTAACCTTTTATCTAGTTTTGTCCAAAAACTAATTCACTAATACAAAATTACGAAATCTGAAACTAGTTGTAGTAGCTTAGGAGATTTTAACATGTTTAAGAGAGACAAACCGTACATGATTATAAGATCATCTCGCAATCATAGTATGAGATCAAAGTGATAGATCACTTTCACTCATGTGTGCTGCTTTATATAAGCTTTTGAAAAAACTTTGGAAACATCTTTAAGTAACGAAAATTGCGAAAGAAGAGAGATAGAAACATATTTCACCAAATATATAAAAAGAGTGTAAGGGCAAACAGCAATATAGTTTATATAACACAAATAGATTCATAATCAGACTATGGAAGTTGAAATCTCTCCTCTTACAAAGATCTTGAGGGGAACAAAAGCATAAAGAATAGGATGTAAAGAATTGAATCAATACAATTTGTAAATACTAATCAATTTTTAGTCATCAGACATCATAATTCCGAACCTCGAAACTCTTCACTGAGAGAAAACACGAAGTCCGGCTTCTAGATCCTCTAACTTGATTGTGCAAATCTCTTCAGTGTCAACACACTCAAAGCTAAGTCGGAGATCAAGATTCTCCCTCGCGTTAACAAGTAGCGTGTCGACCAATCCTCCATTCATCTCTTTCCTCTGCTTCTCGGTTGTTTCCCTCTCAATCAGTGATGCTATCTCCTGCAGGGTGCACGACTCATGCAAACTGAAGCCATAGAACAGAGTGTCCTCTCCTTGGTTGCTCATCTTGATGTGTAGTATCTGGGCCAGTTCTTTGGCACTAAAGTCGCTGAAATTGAAAAACTTTGTGACCCTTCTGCAAAACCCTTCGTTCGATGCTATCACACGCTTCATGGGCTCGCTGTATCCAGCGAATATCACCACGATTTTCCCTGTGTCCATGACAGACATGATTTCTTCGAGAGCTTCTAGACCATAGTCCTTGTCATCCGCCTTTTGCATCGGGATCAACCGGTATGCTTCATCCACAAACAGAATTCCTCCCTCAGCTTCTTGGATCTGTTCAGAAATTGAAAGCATTTAGATTCTTGAAACCAAACCCACAAGTGAAATTAGAATACTATGAACAATGTTTTTACCTTTCTCCTGGTCTTTGGCCCTGTATGGCCAACAAACTCACCAACCAAGTCCGTACGCTGTACTTCTGTTACCTTATCGGTTGGTAAAATTCCAACTGTGTTAAGCAACTTCCCGAGAACTCGAGCCACCATGGTCTTACCTGTTTTTTGGATCAACTAAAGCAGTCATGTATTGGTTTAATTTAAAGACAGAAAAGCATAATCATAAAGCATTTTTCTTTCACCTGTTCCAGGGTTTCCAAGAAATGCCATATGCGGAGGTCTTCTATTCCCAATGTTTAGGCCAAGAGCCCTTCTCCTCTCATCTAGAAGCATTCCTTTTGCCCATTTCCTCAGTTGTGTCTTCAGCTCACTTAATCCAACAATATTTGACAACTCGTCCTCAAGTAGTTCCATCTTGGCTTTTGTCTTACCACACTGCTCAAGCGCACTTCTTTTCCTCTGCTCTTGAAGAAACCAGCGCAACAACTCCCTTAACTTCTCACTGCCTTGCCCTTTAGGTAGATGATCCAAAGGAGTCATCCCTTCCTGGAAATACAAAATCCAACAGCTATCACACAAGTAATACCATAATTACGAAAACAAAACAACCAATAATCTCAGAGTACATACATTATCTTTAGCACTGCAATCTGCATTATTATCGAGCAGTGTCTTAACAGTAGAGATGTCTTTCGAAGTAATTGAGTACCATACCGCAAGGTGCAATGGCGTCATACCGTTCTACACAAACCAAAACAAACTCAATCAGTCCAATCTCCCGTCATAGTTGTTTCTTCCCCATTCAAAAACCAAATCAAGTAGAGTAGTAAGTAAAGAGAGTGAGAAACTTACGCTGGCTTTAGCTTCAATAAAAGCACCACTCTCAAGAAGTAGCTTTGCAGCTTCATTGCAACCGTTCTTGGCTGCCATGTGCAATGGAGTCTCACCATACTGAACAACATTGAACATGATTAATGCAAAATCAAAAATCTCAAGACTTTGATACAGAAAACAAAAACCAGACTTACAGTATTCATTGCTTCCAATTCAACTTTATCAGATCCAGTCCAAGCGAGAAGATACTTAACTATATCAACATTACCATTACCAGCAGAAACATGAAGAGGCGTATGATACATCTGCAATTCCAATCACATTCCAAAACAAGAAAAAAAAAAAATCAAATCTTTCATTCATGGGCATAAGATTCCTCCAGATTCAAACACAGATTCACCAAAAAAATCCAAACTTTAACCGATCCCACATCTCAAAACCAGAGTTTTAATTAACAGATTTGGGAAAATTCAACTAAGAAAGAAAGTGACAAGAATTGAGAAACATACAACGGGATTGCGTTCATTGAGAAGAGAAGGGTTGTCTTTAAGAAGCCTCTGCAACGCAATAAGATCGCCGGAGAGAGCACAGTCGTGAATTGTGGTGGGTCTAGCTGATCTCAGCCGTTGTCCACCGCCTTGTCGGTTCATTTCTTCTTCTTCTTCTTCTTCTTCAATCCCTCAAACCAACAACAAGAAAGATCCTCTCTTCTCCCCCGCAAACAAAACCAAAAATCTAATCTTTATCTTTCTCAGAGGATTTTGCGGAGAATCAAAAGAAGAATAGATTACGAGAAAATGAGAGTACCTCCGCGTCTTCCTCTTTCGTCACTAGTCTTCTTTGTTTATTTTCTCACCATTATATTTGGTATGTGAAATGACTAATTTACCCCTACCTGACTTACCTGGCGCCTTCTTAAACACAGCTAAGCCATTGATTTCACTGATTAGTGTGATTTAAAGCTTTAATCATACATTTATTATAACCAAATATAATATTTCCCATTTCACACTTAATTTACCATCTCCAATCACATGATCATACATAAAGCAAAAAACAAAAACCCAAAAATATTGTTACATTATATTTTTAAAGTTTTACTTTTTTTTTTTTTTGTAAAGGGTTTGCAAAAAGTTTAACTTGTTGTATATTAAATATAAATTCTTTACATGAAACCAATATTGTTATACGTATGTTGACGTGTGCATGCATGCGGCTATAGATTGGACAACATTTTTATGTATACATAAAAAAAAAGTGTCAGGTTAGAAATATCCTATTGAGACTGTTAATATAGGTAATGCAAGTCATATTAACTATGGGACAAATGAAATGTAATTTGATAAAAATATATATGAATTAAGATTATAGGTGATCATGAAAACCAATTGGATCTTATTACATGATTTGGTTCCCACAATAAACCCCCAAAAAAATTTCTAGTCAACAATAAAAAATAGATTTTAACGTTTTTACAGTTTTACCTATCGTGTTGAAGAAAAAACCATGAATTTGGGTTAAATTAGATCCTATAATTCAGAATATAAAATAGTATATATCTTAAATTAGATGTGGATGAGATACACCTAGTTTCTCATATATATTACTACACCTACTCCTTGCTGTTTAGATTAAATTAAAAAAAAAAAAAAAATTGTCATATATTTAAGCTGTTTAAACAGAAGAAAAAGAAAAAAAATATATTTAATATCAAACAAAATGGGAAAATTCTATAAACTTTCTTTCAACATTCTTATTATCTTCACTGTTCTTCTGTTAGGTATATATATTAAATATCCACAGTTTTTTTTCTTAATACATTTACATAAACGATTTCTTAAAAGAATTGAGTTTTTGATGCATTTTAATTATATATGATACATTCAAATATTTTTAGTAAGTTACTTATGTTCGATTTCAAGAGTCAAAGTAATATTGTTTTCTGTTTTTAAATATACTAAACTAATAACTTTGTTACAAACTTGTAATTGTAATAGCAGGAGTGGAAGGTTGGGATTTTTCAAATAGATGTGTTAGGGTTGTAAGCTATACCGGTTGTACCGCAAACAATTGTAAGGATTTGTGTGGCAAGAGTAAACCGGGATCTAGACCGGGTTGCATCACTTCACCTGGTGGACCGTATAAAGGACATCAGCAATGCGGCTGTACATGGGATTGCTAAGGCACATCATGAACTTTATATACTAATAATAACAATAAATCTCAATCCTATATTAATATTGAGAACCTTATATTATAAAGCATATAATTTTTTTATGCCTAGCTCAATCATATGTATACTATTTTGTTGTTGTTGAGTTACATACTCTAATAAAGATTTAATTATAGTAATATGAGTGTGAGAGTTGTAGATAACCTTCAAAAGTAAGATTTAACTATAGTAATATGTTTTGGGTTCATAATTTATATAGTTGATTTTTCTTTTCATTTTATTTGTTCTTTGTATGCTATAACAAAGTTCAGCTTAAAAGATTATTAGCTCTCGTGCAAGTTTTTAACTTAGGAAAATATAATTTTATATAATCAGTAAATTAGTTAAGGTTTTTACAATAACTTTAGGTTCTAGAATAATAATTGAATCGCTCCTATGTGTACATAATCGATCTCCTCATAAACGAAGTGTATCGCATCAGAAAAGTGTGATACTTAAAGCTTAATAAAACAGCCTAATATCTCGGGGTGATGAATCTTATAAGTCACTAAAATTTTGACTAGCTAGTGCCTAGCACAGTAAGATAAACTTCGTAGGGTTAATATATATGATACATTTCACTTAAAATTGCATAATATAATTTGGTCAATGTAATATTAGTAACGTCTTTGCTCGTGTTTTGGGTAGGTGTCGATCGACACCGTGAAAATGAAAAAGATTTCGGTCGATACCATTATTTTTATGGCTACACCGGTTTAATCATGTAATCATTCGATTTAGTGCAATAAACAAAACCAAACCCCTCTTCATTTCCAATTGCCCAGCTCCTTCGACTTATTGCTTTTACTTGCTGACTTCATTGCTTTCATCATTAGAAAACCACAAACCAAACTCCTCTTCATTTCCCTCTTAGTTAGATTTATATTATGAATTCTTTTGTGTAGCTATTTATTCTCAGTGAAATCGATCCTTAACATTATAAAATGTTATTGTGCACTTGCAAGTATTTGTGTGGAGTCTAATGTAAAACCCTAAGATGCAAATACACACACATCAGCCTTCAGCATTGGAAATGAAAGAGATAATCCTCAGTTGATTTGTATATTCAAATCGCATGGAGGTATTAATGTATTGTATCTTGTGGTTGATTTTAAACATGATCAAACCCAAAAAAAAACTGATTATCTTTTTATATTTTACTAATTTTTGATGATTAGTTCCTATTAAATTTCTTGGTTCCTATGACAAAAAAAAAAATAAAGCTCCAAAAAAACCCACAAATTTAAAAGAAAATAAATAAGTTTTGAAAAAACTTTTACCTATCTTACAGTAAAAACCATGAATTTGGGTCAAATTGGATCCTATAATATGGGATATAGGATGATACATATTAATTTCTTAAATTAGATATGTATGAGATACACCTAATTAACTATATATACTACACCTTCCTTCGTCGTTTTTAATATGAAAATTTGAAACACTATTGTACAATATTTAAAGTTTTCTATAACCAAAAAAAAAGAAGAAAAAACACTATCGATCTATATAGATCAAACATGATGAGAAAATCCAATCAAATTTCCTTCTTTGTTCTTATTATCTTCACAATTCTTCTACTAGGTATATATGCTTACATTTTTCTGAAACTGTATTTACATTTTACATATAAATTTCTAAGAATAAACGAGGGTTTGATATCATATTAAACATTTTAAAATAATTTAATTTCTCCTAATTGATTAAATACTTTTTTCATGCAAACTTTTAAATTTCTTCACATATATTGGTTAATTTCCCTACTTTATAAATTTATATAGTCTCAACATTTTTAAAATAATTGTGATGTCAAGTGATGATGGAAACATATTTCAACTGTTTCCTTTTTTCATCAATTTTTTTCTTCCTTTCAATAAGTAAGTGTTTCAAATTAAAAATATTTTGTTTCATAAATATTGGTGTTAGAACAGTTTCTAAGGAAAATTATATGATACATTCATATAATTTTCAGTTACTAGATATCAATAATTATAAACATATGTTCCATTACAGTAAAAAGTCAAAGTAATTATATTTTCATTTTTTAAATATATGAACTAATAATTAAGAATACTTTTTGTAATTGTAACAGGAGTGAAAGGTTTTGATTTTAGAAATAAGTGTGGTGCTGTTTTAAGCTATACTGGTTGTACTGCAAAAAATTGTAAGGAGATGTGTGCGAAGAGAAATCTAAAAGGACAACCCCACTGCGTCACTTCACCTGGCGGACCGTATAAAGGACATCAACAATGTGCATGCACCTGGAAATGCTAATTAGTATTAGGGCTAATAACAACAAGTTAACAAGAATAATACTAGTATTAAGAACTTTATAATGAAATAATGCAATATTTGATGTGGATTTTGTAGTCCTAACATATACAGTATGTGTCATTGTTGATGTTTGGGGTTAGAATGTGGTGTAATAATCGTTTAATTATGACAATATACTTTAAATTATCTTTAGTCTTCAAGATGAACAGAGTCATCATATATGTTCTTGTAGATGCGTACACTACAAGAAAAATGGTCTTTTATAGCATATTAGCATAGCTCAAAATTGGTAACTGCTATTAATATGGATATCCCGTAATTGGGTATTATATTACAGCATTTTTTTAGTGCTGGGCCGTAATTTCATTAAACAAGGACCCAAAAATGAGTTTTAGAGCCTGTTTTTGCTAAGTATCCATTATCTCACTATTCAATTCCGTACAAACGAAAGGGGATCAAAGAAAAAAAAAACCTAAGTCGCTATACCACCGTGAACTCGTCGCCGGCCACAATCTCTACCTTCGTCGGCGTCAATTTCTTGCTAATAGCTGGGTCTTTCGACCTAGATCTCGTTTCACGGTAAGTTTCCTCCATCTCCCTTGTTCATAGGTTTGTGTCTTTTGAGCTCGTCGCCATTTATTCTAAATCTTTGGGTGTTTCGACCTAGGTATCTTTCAAGCTAGTTCTTCTTCCGCCTTAGACTCGTTCAACATTGTTCTTCGTCAATTTCAGGAGGACGAGCCACAGTAAAGGTACAATGCATGAGTTCTGAATCTTAAATTTATCATTCTCAAACGCTTCTGTGTAAATTCTGGCCTCTAACTTACACCCTGTTGCTTTGTAGAATCATAGATTATATTTTGGTTACAGGAACAAATATATAGCTCGTGTTATTCTGAAACTTGATTTGATTTAAGGTTTATTTCATGATGTTTTTGTTAGTGAGAACATCTATTGCCTAATTTGTTTCGTCCATCAAATGTTTAGAGTCTGGAGATATTGAACCATCTTAATTAGCTAGTTTGCAGTTTAAGTTTTTTAATTATTGGACTTTGAATCTGAGTTGGATTTTTTACTAAATTAAGACCACGATACTGACCTCAAAGTAGATGAATATTGATGTTTATTTTCTTTGGGAATAAGTTAATTTGTAATTTATGAAAGTTCTAAGTCTTTTTCCATCATATATGTGAGTAAACTAAATCTTATATGTTAATTAGTTCCATCACAATTGATTGTTTTGTTTGATACTGTTTAATTACTATGAGTGTAATTTAATTTGATTGTCTTCTATTTGTTTCTTGAGCATTTAGTTACCTCACACTTTTACAGGTTTCAAGCAGTAGAGATAGTCATCAAGAGATCAACTGCTGTAAAGGTACACTGACTCTATTGCTTTCCTGATCTGTAGGTTATAATTTTAGTATGCATGCTCATGATGTTTTTGATAGTAATTAACAGACCAGTTTTTTGAATAGCAGCTTACTATATATTATTGCATGATCTACTTTTTCTTTTGTTTTGTCCTTCAAATTTTAAGAGTCTATAAACATTGAACTATATAAGTGATTTTCAGTATTAGTTTATAATGACATAGAATTGGACCATATGTAGCTGATCATATTTACTAAGTCGTCTCTCCGTATATAGTGTATAAGTTTTTGTGTCTGCCCATTATATTAAACCATAATTGCGCATGTGATTACATCGACATTGAATATATGTACAAAGCTTGATCAAATCTGCTTAAACCTGATGTTAATTTATAGATATGAACTTAATAATGACATATAAATTGGACCATATGTATAGATAAGTAACTAATCATAATTACTAAGTCTCTCTGTACAGTGTATAAGTTTGTTTGTGTCTGTCCTGTATATTAAACCATCATTGCGCATGTGATTATATTAGCATTGAAGATAGGTCACAAAGCTTGATCAAACAGACTTAAACCTGATGTTAATCCATATATTTGAACTTAGTAATTTCAGCTTTTTGTTTAAGGTACAACATTGGAGTATTCAAGATCTTTTGGTTGAAAGGGTCGTCGTGAGATCACAATAATCAGGCTAATAAACATACTACAAGTAAGTTCTCTCTATCTAATTTTAGTATATATGTTTTAAGCTCTTTGTTTGTGATTGTTTTGATTGTTTTCTGGATACATATATGTGAAAAATTCTTTAGCTAGTTTAGTCCTTTTAAATTTTTATACGATTGCTTATTGTTTTGTTGATATATATTAAATATTTCTTGTTTGATTTTACTTAAGAGTTTAGTTTGATACGTTAACTTTAATTGTCTAGTTTTGTCAGATTGAGTTTAGATTTATGCTATTGCTTTCATTGTTTGTGGATACATATTAAATGTTCTCTGTTTGTTGTTACTTCTGAGTTAG